CATAAATTCATCCCTCTTCCAAATCCTAAATTTTCTACCACCACAAAATCAGAAACCAAAGAGAAAATATGACTAAGAAAAATGTTTAGAACACTTACCTAGTTTTAGAATACTTAAAATCTCATATGAAGTATCCCATTATGGAGCTCCACCTTCTAAATCAGTCAGCCTCTCCATCAATGTCGCTCGCTCTCTCGCTCGCTCTCTGCCTCAGCTCACGCAGGGATGAAATGAAGAAATGAAGGAAGGAGGGTGATTTTATAAAAAAAATACCGCGGGTCCCACATGTTTTTTTTTTTGTCTCCTTTTTCCTCTCTCTTCTTTTTTTTATATTATTATATATATATTGTCATGATTGCGTGGGAGAGCACCGAAAGCAATTTCTTCTTCTCCTTCTTCTTCTTTCTTTCTTTAGACATTTTCTCTTTTTTTAATGATAATAATAATAATTTAATATTTTTTTAATTAATTAATTAATTAATTTTTTTAATTTTAATTTAAAATTATATCCTGATTAGATTTAACAATCATCTCCTTCTAATTTGCTTACCTCTAAATATTTTTTTTTAAAAAATTTCTATTAACTCAAATTAACTATTAAAATTTAAATTGGGATGTTACAAAATAAGAAGAGAGCTGAGACTCGAGAGACTGAGAGTGAGGCAAAGTGACCAAGATTGAGTATAGGTTGTGTTGACAAAGTGACCGAGAGAGTAAGGTGAGGGTTTTTTCGCTTTTCACTAAACCTAGATTAATGGTAATAGGTTGGGTTAGATTAGCAGGCCTCTAATATGTTATCTCTCTCTTTCCCACCTTCTTTCATTAAATATAACACTAATATTTTCAAAAAATAATATCAATAAAAAATAAAAATAATCTTTAATAATATATATATGAATAATTTTGGTTACTTTATTTTATTTGGTTTTGCATTTCGAAAACCAAACCAAACCATTTAAACAAAATTTTTTATAAAAAAAACCGAGCCGATCATTTAAACTGAATAAATCAAACCAAACAAATCAAATTTAATTTGATTTGGTTTGATTTTGCTCAACCTTGTCGTTGATTACTTTACTCTTACAATAAGCAAGCAAGCAAGCATCAGGCAGTGACAACCACAGGTGGTCTGGTCAAGAACTGCATACTCAACAATTTTTTTTACTCATATCTCCATTGTATTGCAGTATACATAACATGTGAGCTTTGACAAGCACCCTTTAAACTAGTCATTGGTCAATTTTTATATGCCTGCGTCCGAGTCTAGCCCAATACCGGCAATTGGATCTTAAGTCTTGACATTCTCTCACATGACAAAACTAATTAAATTTAAATTGAACTATTGTTAAATAGTTAGAATGTACAAAAAAACTATTCTTTTTTTTACTAGAAAAAACTATCCTTAAAGCTACTCTTGTTATTACTAACATTCTTAATCATTACTTTATTTTTCGCCAAGATTCAAAATTTATATTAAATAATAATTTACATGTAATTTGTTTAACTATAAATCATCAATATTAATATAAAACATATAAAAAAGTCATTTTATTTATAAATTGAGAATAGTAGAACTCATTTTTACCTTCATGTAAATACATGACACATTTTTAAAAAGGAGTAGCATAAGAAAATGGGGGGCATTAAAAAATAAAAGTATAAGGATCTATAATATTAAAAAAAGTACAGAGACATATAACAAAACTCGAACAAAGTATAAAAATTTAAAATTATATTTTTTCATAATTTTTTTCTTTGCAATAGATTTGTTACCAAATCATGACCATAATGATTGGAATTGGAACTTATTAAAAGGTAATCACTAGCGTAATATTGTCTAGCTAAATTCAACTTGCCCAGCATCGATAAGAAACATGAGTAAAGGTGGGTCCTAACTAAGCTTGGACCAATAGTTATATATTTTTTAAAAATAGGATCATTCTATAGTTTCAGCGCGGAATTTCAAACACGCATCATAAACAATAAAAATTATTATGTTTAACCAATCAGCGGATGATATTTTACAGTTCATGCTCATCTGGGGTCACAGATAGGCATCATGGATCCTTTCAAAAGCCAGTCTTCAACAGTTAAAAAACAAAAACAAAAAGCCAGCTTGCGATTTTATTAAATTATTTGGACAGAGATAGAAATTTTATTTATTATTTAATTGAATTTAGTAGATTTACTTGTCTTTAATTATAATAATATCTATCTATGTATCTTATATATTGACAACATAACGTATTAATATAAATTATAAAAATAATGTATTATAAATATTATGGTTTATTTTGGACTAACATATTAAATACTTATTCCCTTAAAAAATGTAAGGCACTTCTAATTGAATTTCACTCTAATAAAGTAGTTATTTATCTTCAAACTAATATTATCTTTTTATATTTATCCCTATTTAATAGAATATTTTATCTTAAAATAAATATAAAATGATTTATTCAATATAATATTTTAAAAAAGATAATAATTACATATTAAATGACTAAAAATACCTTATATTTTGTCATATATATTGCTTGTTGATGTTGTTCTGTTTTTCCTCAAGGTTGATAAGGAAAATTGTGAAGTTCTGAATAGTATTATTAGTGGATTTTGTGAGGCTTCGGGTTAGAGAATTAATATTGATAAGTCTAGCATTTTCTTTTCCCATAATGTCAAAACTGATTTAAGAGATGAATTATGTTTGATTTTGGGAATCAACGGTAAGAATGAATCTAGAAAATATTTAGGTGTGCCTATTCTATGGGGTAGATTTAAAACTCAAGCTCTTGCTTTTCTTAGGGAAAGATTCATTAAAAGAATTGAAGGTTGGAAGAATTTATTGTCGTCTGAAAGGGGCAGAGAGGTGTTTGTTAAATCAATTGCTAATGCTATTCCTATTTTTCTTATGTCCTACTTTAAATTCCCTAAAAAGTCATGTGTGGATTTAGATCAAAGTGTTGCTAGATTTTGGTGAGGTCAAAAGGGTGATGAGAGGACAATTCATTGGAAATCTTGGGAGTCATTGTCAAAACCTAAGGATAATAGTGGTTTAGGTTTTAGATGTTTTGAAGATTTTAATACTGCTTTATTGGCAAAATCAGCTTGGAGATTGTTGAATTGTGAAAATGATCTCCGAGCTAATGTTTTAAAAGGCTTATATTTTCCTAATTCATCCTTTTTAGAAACAAAAAAAGGGTCCTCTTGCATCTTGGGGTTGGTTGAGTTTACTTGTTGGGAGGGATTTCTTGGCTGAAAAACTTTAGTGAAAAATTAGGAATGGCTTGAGTGTAAAGTTTGGAGAGATAGGTGGGTATGGGGTTTGGATAATGGAAAGCTATATGTCAGCTTTTCTAATGAAGATGAAATGAATAGACTCGTAGCAGATTTAATGAATGGTAATGGCTGGAATTTGCAATGTGTTTTTGATTTGATTAATGAAGTGGAAAGAGACACAATTTTAAGCATCCATTTTCCTTTGTCTGGTTGTAAAGATAGAATTGCTTGGGATGGTGCTAAAAATGGCATATATATGGGTTACAAACATGTAAGGGAGAAAACAATTGTGATTGTAAAAGATTCTAAATCCTTGAGGAGAATTAATAATGATGTTTGGCATAAGATTTGGCAACTTAATTGTATGCCTAAGATTAAGCATTTTCGTTGAAAATTAATGAAAGGTGCTTTACCTACTTGTGATGTTTTATGGAAAAGAAAATGCTTGAATGACTCTGTATGTAAAATTTGTGGTGATGAAGAGGAAATTAGGGAATATATGATTTTGTTATGTTATTGGGCTAAAGCTATCTGGTTTGGTGGTCATTTTGAATGAAAAATTAAAAGATCCTTGGTAACTAGTATTGAAGATTGGGTTACTACTTGGCTTATGACTAACAACCTTTTTAATATGATTAGTTGTAGAATAGCTTTTACTTGTTAATATATTTGAAAACTTCGATATGGATTTGTGTTTGATAGTAAAAATGTTGATCCTATTGAGGTGAATGTTCTAGTTGACAAACTTTTGTGTGAAATTAATAATGTGAAAATTTCTAAATCTGTGAGAAAGGTTGATGTATATAAGAAAATGAAGTTGCTTTGGTGTTTTTTTTGATAAAGGTGGGATTAAATTGAATTATGATGGGGCTTTTGATGAGATAAAAGGCTGTGGTGGTATTGGGATTGTTGGAAGAGATGATTTGGGTAACTTTGTGATAGATATAAGTAAAAAAGTGATAGGTTTTTCAACTTTGATGATTGAAACTTTAGCTTTAAAAAGGGCTCTAGTACTTATTAAAAAACTTAAAACTATGAGTATATGTGTTAAAGGGGATTGTGAGGTCTTATATAAGGTTGTTACTTGTGACTGAAAAAGTGCTGACATTATCAATGATATTTGTTGTTTATGGCTTTCTATGAAGAATTGTTGTTTGTCTCTTGTTTGTAGGGATGGGAATAAAACTGTGGATTTTTTTGCAATGGATGTTAAAAGTAAGATGGAATTGATTGATTTGATATTGTCACCTCTATCTACCTTGGCTCGGATTATACTTCTTGACAAGGCTAAAGCGTTGAATAGTAATGATATTAGTAGGAATATATATTTTGTAAAGAAAGGCATTGGTTGATAACTTTTATTGTATTTTGTAATCTTGTTGATTTTTGTTTCTTGTTTTTATTTTTGTTAAACTGGTTATTGTATTTTTTTTGGTGTGCTTTGGTGTGTTAGGTTGTATGTGTAGGTTTTTTTGACTTTGGTTATTAGTGTTTGTAATTGATTTTTTGTGATCAATAAAATTGACTCTTTTTTTAACAAAAAATAAATAATTAATTCTTTAAAAAATATTTTATACTTTTAAACGAGAGAAGTTTGTGGGGGGACAATCTATTTCTATCAATCACACCGAAAAATCAAAAAAGAAAAATTCTGGTGCATGAAAATGAAATGTGGAACTGGGCTTTTGATGGGTTAAGTTAAGAGAGAAATAGTGCTGAGCTTTATGCTATATATGAGTACGTAATGAAGTTCAATCTGGTACCTACGTATAACAATCGCTTCTGGGGGGTGGCGCTCTGCTTTTTACTTCATCTTCGCGACACTTCGAATCTGTCTGTTTCTCTGAATTTTGGAGCAACAATCAACATTCTATGGGGTCTATACTCGGTAATTGGCCGTCATACGACCCTCACAACTTCAGTCAGCTCCGACCTTCCGATCCTTCTAGTCCCTCCGTGAGTATTTCTATTTCATATTCTTGGGGGAACTCTTAAATTCCTTACTTTTCTACTTTATCGCTCATTGAAAAATCTGATCTTGTATCCTTCGATATTCCCCCCGCCATCCCCGCCCCGGTTGCAACATAATTTTATTGCTTCTGAAAAGGCTTTCCAAGTTATCTCGTGTGCGTGTGCGTGAGTGTGTTTGTCTGTGCGATATCGAAATTCTCAAATCTGTTTCTTTTGATTTCACGGCGGAATATCTCGTGCCAGTCTGTAATTTAGTTTAGTTGGATGCTTGTGATTGTTGGTGCTGCATTTTTTGGCGCTGGAGGGAGATTGAACTCTTCACACCCGATACTATGTGCGGCATTGTCATTGTGACGATGCTCTTTCCATCACATTTACTGCGTGGTTTTTTTTTTTTTTAAACATTTTCCTCTACATGGTTGCAACTTTAATCAAAAGTAGTATGCTAGAATTCCTCACCTCACGAACCCCCCCCCCCCAAAACCAAAATTATAAATAAACAATTAAAAAATTAAACTTTCCTAGCTGGGGATGATCTTCGATTTTCTCTTATTTATTTGTTTCTCGCTTCCCCACCCCCCCCAAAAAAAAAAAAATCAGTTATGTTTATTGTGTTACATTTTCCCTCCATCCATTCCATTAGCAACTTCAGTGATGTTCATTGTGTTACATTTTCCCATCTCCATCCGTTTCATTAGCTTTTTACCCAGTTCTGACAATGACTGAATTTTTGGCCCAATAGTCTAGCAAAAGTATAATTTGCCACTAGAATTTTGTTGTTTGCTTTAAAACTTTCAAGGCTCTTTAACTTAATGATTGTAATCATAAATTGCATTCTTCCCTCGGGCTCTGAATGGAATTGTTCACAGCACTTCCTCTAAAGAAGAGGTCCATAAAATATTATAGCCATTGATTGGTTGGATTTACTCTTCTGTCAGTGAAATATTATTTTGGCCAAAAAATATCTGTTGATTCTCCTAAGTTTAAGTTCACATTGTGGAAAGTAACATGATGAATGGATAAGTAGTTGTTAGTATTTATATTCTTTCGTAAAATCACATGCTATGAAGCATGAACAGTTCAAGGAAGGAGCCATATCCATGTCCAAGATGCGTCAGAGACCAACACTTGATGTGATATCCCAACTCCTCTGGATGGTAATCTGGAGTAAAAGTTTTTCCCCTTTGTTTTGACAGCTCCTGATGTGTTCCTAACATGTTTTAACACTTATACGTTTCAATTATTAGGTACTAGTATGGTACAATGACTATGCTATGTTGTGCCCTTATATTTTCATTCCGTTGTTGCTATGCACTTGTCTTTCCTTGTTTTCTTCACGTGTCAAAATTTTTGCCCACGTCAACAGATCACCTTTGTCGTATTCCTGATATGATCTGTTTACCTCCTCCTTTCATATTTGTCACCCCATCTTTTCTTTAATTCCAGATTGGCCTGTCAACGACAATATTTTCATCTGAAGTTAATTCACTAGTCTTTTGATGAAATTTAGTTCTTCATTTTGGTTTAGTATGCGTGCTTTAAGGTCATTACAATCTAATTCACTAATAGCAGAAGCACTGTCAAATTACTCCTGAGTTTCCATTATTTGGATAGGAGGGCCTTTCATACCAGTCATCAATTACGTAAATAAGAAACAACTCTCAATCCGTTAAAAGTTTATATCATTTTGGTAGTTTTCTCTAACCCAGGAGTGTCCATGGGATCTATTCACTTCAGCTGTAATGGGTGACTTGTGACATATTTCACTTCAGCTGCCGACCAAATCCTTTGAAGATTTTTGGGGTTGTGTTGCATATATGGGCCAAAAGTGAAGACTGAGCCGTTTATATAGCTGAAGATTACTAGTACAGTACTCACTTAGGTTCACCTCAAATTCTTAAAATGGAGTTAAAAGCAAGTAATCTCTCTATCTGAATCTCAAGTTGGTGAAAAATTATGATAAAACATATTTGTGATTGCGTCATGAAAAGCAAAGTCAGATATTTCATCAAAAAATTTAAAATGAGATATATATTATAAATGTTTACACTCAACTACTAATTCTTGAGTACTTCACAACTCATGTGGGCTTCTCTATGCAAAGCTTGTTTTTCCGTGTACCTGTAAATTTGAACTGTTTAGCTCCACTGGAAGGATCATTCACGCTTGCCTCAGACCCTCTAAAATCTGAATGAGTTTACATTTCCATAACATGACAACAAATATCAAGGATGGTTATAATATTATGATATAGGAGCTAGTTGAGGAGTTTGTTTTAATCTTAAGTGTAAGACCTTGATCTCCTTTATCTTTCACATTTATTATTTCCCCCCCTAAACTACCTATTTTGATTGCACGTTTGGTTGTGTGCAATTAACATGGATGGTTTCCAAAGTAAATTATGAAAGGGAGTGGTATCTTAGGAAAACCAACACACATTACTAGCAAATAATTAACTTAACTGATTTTCTTAACATGTTTGAATTACTTAACTAATTCTTATATTTAAGACCAGAGGGAGAAGTTGAGTTGGTGAGATTGTCAGCATTTTCAAAGAAAGCATATTGAATCTTGGAACTAATACCAGAAAGTGTCTATTCATGGTAGTGTGTATCAAAAGTTAGCTTCGTTTGTCTTGGTGTTATGGCATGTCAACACTTAGTCTGCAAATCCAAGATTGTTAGACAAATTAGTTCATTACTTCGCATGAATTCATGTTTAAATAAAGTGTTGAGTGGCATTTACATTGTTTGGAAAGTGATTTTTTATCATTTTCAAAGGAGCATTTTAAAACAATTTTCTGATATAGATGGCTACTTATTATTCATAACCTGATTTTATACTTTCTCTTCCTTAATAAGATATCTTGATTTCATGTAGAAAATGACACCTGCTACTTACCATCCAACTCACAGCAGGACCCTTCCACCACCTGATCAAGGTATCGAGTACTGAGAAGAACTTTCTTCTACCTTTGGCTGCAGTGCTGCCTTGCTGGATCTATTTCATTGTTATCTAAGCTTAGAGCATGTCCCTATAATATTGATAATTTCTGTCACCTAGGAGGACTTAAACTAAATGTACAGTGTGGACCTATTACTTAAAAATGGCAGCCCAGCTTCAAAAAGGGAACGGGAGACACGGATTAAGAGGATTAATCTTTAATATGTTCTTGAAGTAGACATGCATTTCACGTTTGCTATCATTCTCACCATGGTTATTGATTGAGGATTCTCTAACCATGTGAAAGTTCCTCTGGCAGTGATAACTACTGAAGCAAAAAATATCCTTCTAAGACATATTTACCAGCATGCTGAGGAGAAGGTTAGTTTTGAATTCTTCTAATTCTCATGCTGGTAGCAGTGCACACACCTGTACCCACTCCTCGCTGTTTAGAGATCTTATAGCTGCTCGTGGTCATTTTCTCTGCAGTTGAAACCCAAACGAGCCGCATCAGATAATCTTTCACCAGAGCATGGATGCAAGCAACCAAGGATTTCTGCCTGATCGTTCACACCGAGCAAACTTTTCATGCCAGCCTCGTTACCTTGTTAAATATGTATTTTTCATTGTGCACAGAACAAGTTTTGCATGTTTTCTATTTGTAAACTACCTTGCCAGATATATTTGGAATATGTAACTTGAAACAGGGTCTCGTAATCCCTATGGAATATAATGTCAATGAAATGATTGCCTATGCTTTCTACGGAGCATCTCCTGCATTACTCTGCAGTCTGCACTCGGCGGTTACGTACGTAATAATAGGAAGAGGGATAAGGATATACAGAATGCAATAATGCATCCTTCATTCAGTTGATTTTTTTTTTCCCCTTTTAAAGAAAACGTGGGTCAAAGTTGGTTTGTGTGAACGAGTCCAAAGTTATATTATTGTTAGGAGAGGATGTCCGAGCGGTGAGTGCACCCAAGATCATGTTTTTTAGAGACTTTTACAAAGATATCATTTGAAAATTCTTGATTACACCATTGTCACTGACCCTCTATTTGGTTGGAGGGTCCCTCCTTTTGTTTGGATGGGATAAGGAGAGCAGTGGCGAATTCAAGAATTATTAATTGTGAGGTCAAATTAGATTTCAAACATAATGTAAAGGAGTCAAAATCTAATTTAATGTTTTTTACAAGCAAAAATTTTAATTCTTTTCAAAGGAGTATTAAAATGTGGGTGAGCAAGAGCCCCTTGTCCCTCTAGATTCATTACTGAAAGGGAGAGGAGGGGCTCCTCTCTTTGTTTGGCAAGACCTAGTGGAAAAAATTCCCCCCCCCCCCCTAACTCTTTCCTTTCAAATTGGAAGGGATTCCTCCTCCCCTCTCCACCCCACCCCTCCTTTCCAATTAAGTATATTGTAATTGTCATAATATGAAAATATGGGTTAATTCCTTCAGTTAAATTAGTAAATTGTCAAACTAATATCTTAATAAATTTAATAAAATATTTTCTTTATAATTAGTTAATTATAATTTAACTATAGTTGTGATCATTAATCTTGAACTAGTACATTGAATCCTTTATTTGCTGATTTTAATGTGCACAATGAAAGGGGAAATTATGACTACATGCTGGAAAATATTTTTAAAGGAAAATTGCTAAAAAAAGACCTCATCATAAATTTAATTGTGGAGAGGAACCTGGAAGCTTTTCTAATATGAGGTCCTTTGTTGACATAAAATGAGACGAGTAAAAGACCAAACTTCCCTTCTTCCCTCACAGCACCGATCACGACTCACTCACCCTCTTCCTCACATCACCGATCGTTGTCAAGATCAAAACCTTCAAGTTCTTTGCTAGCGAAGGTCACATTGCCACTACAAAACAAAAGGGACAAATCCTATTGATTTTGTCTGTGAAGCTCTTTGTGGTTTTGATTTGCTTCTTCAATTGAAAAGATTCATTTGCTCACTTTTATTTTTTGATGTGTTTTCCTTTTTCAATGCATTGGTAGGTTGATTAAGTTTGGTTTTGATTTTTGAATGCTTGGTTTTATTTCACCATTTAGGATTTAGTTCATTGATTTCATAACACCCATTACTTTTTGTTCACTTTGTATATCACTACTTGAAAATTTCTTTCTTCCTTTTTTTTTGGTTACCATGTTGCTATCTTCTCCATTTTCTCTATTACTTCTATTTCTAGGTTCTTCATTCACTTTTCCTATTCATGAGTTTATCCCTTACTGTGGTTTTTTCTTTTAAGTTGTCTCCTTCTATGTGTCTGTTCCATATAGGCCTCTTATAGGGCATTCCATCAATTGCCATAGAACTTCTTGATATATGGCTATCAAGGCCAAAGTCAATCCAAAATGCAGTGGAAATGTTGATCTATCTGATAAAAAGTAGTTAAGCATGGGTCAAGATGATGTTTTGTCTATTGATACAAAGAAACTTGGCAAAGTGTTGAAGATGTCTAAGAAGACAAAGATTTGCCCTCAATCAAAAGCTACTCATTGTGAGTTAGATGAGGTTTCTATTTATTTCTTAACTAGTCTATGCAATCATATTTTAATTCAATATGAATTGATTGCACTACCTTTCTATTTGGCCAAAGAAAGAAAATTACTTTATTAATTCAAATTGGTATCTTTATAAGTGATAGTTTTGTTTTGTCCGATGGGAGATGCATTGCAAACAATTGATAGGGGATTTTCTATAATGTGGATTAGAATTGATGTTAGCAAACACAAATTACTAGAAAAAGATGTGCCTGTAAACATTGCATAATTTCGAATGATTCACCAAAGTGTATGATCTATTGATATTGAAATTTTTCATGACTTTTGCAAAACTAGGAAATGAGGAAGTATGGGCCTGATTTGCTCTTTGTTTATCAAGTGTAAACAACATTCTCAAACTAGCTATAGCCTGTGAGATTAGTTCATCTTCAGTTCGATGTCTTTTTTAAAAAATTGTTTTGTTCACAAATAGAAGAATATAGTTTTCATGTTAATTGCTTTTCATTTGTGCTTGAAAGCCAAAAAAACTTTCTACTCTTGAATTTCAAATTTATTGCTAATGGGTTGGAGAATACTAAAAATATGAAATTGTGGTTTGAAATCAGCACTGGAAATTGTTATGAGAGCACCGTAAATATTGATTGGTATATGTATCGTTGTTTGACCCATGCTGAATATGATGCTTTTGTGCGAGAAGAAATGGCAAAAAAAGGTGGATATGGTTTGATTGTTGGCAAAACAATGACACGAATAAATTTTAGGACAATATCTAGTATGTAATTCAACTTGAAAAGTTCCAAAGAAGCCAAAATAGATTAAGATGCTTGTATTTAGGTAGATGACTTTATGTAAAAAAGATTTTTTTTTATAAAGTAGTAAGAATGTTTTTGTATAGATGCTCTTAAGTTTATAAATTATGATGTATAGTTCTAATAGATTAAATGTTCAATGCAAAAAAAAATGCTACATGATGATTTATGTTGCCATTTTATTAAATTGTTCTAAATATACATGAGTATATTTGTCATATTATATAAATTTTCAGGATATGAAATGATTTTTCATGAAAAATTGATACACTTACAAATGGCAACAATATTGGTGTTGTATTGTTGATATGGATGAATAGTATTATATATTTTAGCTACAATGTAGTTGCATCCAAATGTCGTGTCTGATGGTCATAACTATTTTTCAGAATATAACAATAATTTTTTTATAAAAAAATAATATGTTATAAAATTTTTTCATAACACGCTCTTCATTTATTCAAATATTCATTTTATGTATCCTGAAAATTGGGTTAAGAAATGCTCTATAACATTCAACACTTTCATTTTTCATGATATCCTTTCCATAAATTTTGAAAAAAGTTAGCTAATAAAAGTTACATAATATCCAAGACCCTCCTTTTTCATGATATCCATTCCACATATTTTAAAAAATTTGGCTTAAATAGGCTCTGCAACATCTATGACCCTCATTTTTCATGATATTAATTTCACATATCCTAAAAAAATGGCTTAGATAGGCTCTTTAACATTTGGACCCTCATTTTTCATGATATTCCTTTCACATATTTTGAAAAAATTAGTTTACAGAGGCTCTGTAATATTTGAGACTCTCATTTTTCATGATATCCCATATGATTTTCATGAAAAAAAAACTTTCAAGTCCTTCCTTTATTTTAATATATAACATGATATCCTAAAAAATGATACCACAAATATCATACATGGGATGCAATGTGTCTTTCATTATATAGAACATTTTTCACAAAAATACATATACCTTCCCTCTTTATGAAATCATCTTCAACAGCATGTACAAGTATTCTTGTATATGCAAAATGTCTCCTTATGATGCAATAGTCTTCCCCTATATGTAGAACTCTTTCATCTATACATGTAATCAATCCACATCTGCAATGGGTCTTCCTTGAATGTGCATTTTTTGGCGGGCACATGACTTTAAGGATATACAATTAGTCTTCATACAGATGCAAGCATTTTCAATGGAATGCAATGATTTTTCAAAAAACGAGAAAGTTACCACACATATGCAAAATGTTTCCTTATGATGTAATAGGTTCCCCTTATGTGTAGAACTCTTTCATATATGCATGTAGTTAGTCCGCATATGCAATTGATCTTCCTTGAATGTTCATTTTCTAGCGAGTGCATATGACTTCAATGATATGCAATTAGTCTTCATATGGATGCAGGCATCTTTAATGAAATGCAATACTCTTCTGAAGAATGAAAAAGTTATCACGCATATGAAAAAAGGTCTCCTTGTGATGCAATAGGCTCCCTCATGTGCAAAACTCTTTCATATGTGCATGTAATCAGTCCGCATATGCAATGAATCTTCCTTAAAGGTGCATTTTTGCCAGATGCATATGACTTCAAGGATATACAGTTTGTCTTCACATAAATGCAATTATCTTCAATGAAATGCAATATCCTTTTGAAGAACGAGAAAGTCATCACGCATATATAAAAAGTCATCACATAGATGCAAATATCTTCAATAAAATGTAATACTCTTTTGAAGAACAAGAAAGTTACCACGCATATACAAAAAGCCTCTCTATAATGCAATAAGCTTCCTCATGTGTAGAAATCTTTTATATATACATGTAATCAGTCCACATACGCAATGAATCTTTCTTGAATGTGCATTTTTTGACAAGTGCATATGACTTTAAGGATATGTAATTGGTCTTCACATAGATGCAAGTATCTTCAATAGAATGCAATACTCTTTCAAAAAATAAGAAAGTAACCATGCATATGCAAAAAGTCTCCTTATGATGCAATAAGCTCCCTTATATGCAAAACTCTTTCATATATGCATGTTATTAGTTCGCATATGCAATGGATCTTTCTTAAAGGTGTATTTTCTTAAAAACTAGCACCATGCTTTAGTTTTCAAGATATGTATTTTTATTTTCATGAAAAATAAGCATATAAAGCTAAGTACACAATCATTTTCAAGATATGAATTTCCTTTTTCATGAAAAATAAGCATATAGAGCCTAAGGTCATAATCGTTTTCATGATATGTATTCTTGTTTCATGAAAAATAAGCATATAGAGCCTAAGGATATCTATTTATTCAAATATACTATATTGTTATCATGAAAAGCACGATACTTCTTGAGAAACAGAGATTAAAGGTGTCAAGTAACACACCTCAAATCCAAAGTTGCAAAAACTCAAATGTCGCTGTCAATATCGCTTGGGGTATTGCCTAAATACTCCTCAAGTGGCTAACAAGTTAACAAGTTGTCGGTACTACCTGTTATTCATCTTCTTTGTTTGTTCTTTGCAAGTTCCATCGCCCTTGAAATTCTACTTGTCAAACATTTTTTATTTTCAAATCTCATTAACCAAGGGCATTTTGGTCTTTTAACTCACTACAATATTGCTGCAAAAGGACCTTATTTTCAAAACTCTCTAATGCTTTTTTAGCAATTAATTTGATGCTGAAATCTTTATGACCAATTTTTCCTATTTTTAAAATGATGATATAGAGCAAGCAATGATTTGAAAGCTAGATCAGATCGGATGGTCAAATTGGTCCGACTGTTGACCGAAGACTTAAACAGCTTGTTTCACTCGTTTAAACCATTTTATAGGTTGAGTCAGATTGAGCCACTGCAAGCTAACTTTTGAGCTAGAAACTGAAGCGAGTTTAAAGAAACCAAGCGAGTTCAAAACATGGGGTTCCGACTTTCGATTTCCGGTTGCTTTGAAGGGGAAGAAAGAAGATGAACGAAGGTGAAAAAAAATCCAACATGTACCTTTATAATCTTTTTATTTATAGCAACAAGAATAATAAAAAACTTGAAAATAAAATTAAAAGATAAAATTTTGATCAAAAGCTTGAAATTTGAATGCTTTAGACCCTAAAGTTTCAACGTTCGAGTGAGAACGAAGAAGAAAGTGGATTGACAGGAGTGAAAAAACGAAATCAAGCAGCAAATTTGAAAAGAGAGACTCGAAAGGAGTGATATGAAAGCATGTGACTATAAGGCTCAGAGTAGAAGTTCAGAGTAGATGCATAGTCGGCTGGTGGATGGGAAATATGATAAATGGGAGGCACTTTTCACAATGTTTTGGAAGACACCAATAAATTACAATTAAAATTAAAATTTATTACATTTCATAATGAGATAGTATGTTATTATATATATATATATATATATATATATTATTTCAGTCTAAATTATCATATTTTTTTGTAAATAAGTATGGTCTAAAATATAGAATATTTAATATTTTTTAAAATTATTTTTTGATTAGTTAATATATGGATAGGAAAAATATAATTTGTTTAATTTTGAATGGAAGTAAGGAGCAAATTATTCTTATTATATGTGTGTATATAAATATTATCTTTTAATTTTAATTATTATATTAATATTCAATTAATAATTTAATCAGTTAAATTATAAAAATCGTGAACGACTAATCTTTTTGATTTGACATTCAGTCTGGATGTGAAAACATTGGGAGCGAGTTATCTTTGTTAATAATAAAATGATGAGAAAGTCTACCTCCTCATCCCAAGCATTCAGAAAAATAATCTGTAGTCAAAAGGAAAAATCCCGTGGGCGAAATATCCTTCTGGATTCTGCACCATGCTAGTCAGTTTTGACTAGGAGGCTTTTTTTATTAAAAAAAAAAGTTTTGACTGGAAAAAAAAAAGAAGAAGGAACGGGCAAAACGAGAATCAGGCCACAAAAATTTAAAAAAGGGAAAATTTTGAAATTGTTCAATGAAGACTGGCTACTGCCTACACATGCAATGAACAAGCACCGGTCAGGAGAGCAAAGGCCACATAGCCGCTAGCCAAGGTGTATCGGCCTGCAAGAGTTCTGTTGTTCTCTGACCTGTCTGAAGGCGTTCATTTCGGTCTTCGCTGAACTCAGAGGCAACAACCATGGCAGCGTCTTTCTCGACTACATTTTCTATTCTCTTCACAAGAAGCACAACTGCCAGCAAATCTTTTGCTTCATATTCCACCTCATCTTCATTTCCTCGCATCAATTCCGTCCCGCGGAAATTTCAAATCAGGGCAACAACTTCGTCTGCACCTACCGTTTCTCCTGCTGCAACCACCTCCGTGGGGGTCGATGCATCCCCAGCCTCAGTCACTGCCTCTAAACCCTTGCCCTTTCGGGTCGGTCATGGATTCGATCTCCATCGTCTAGAGGCTGGTTATCCCTTAATTATCGGGGGAATTAACATCCCTCACGAAAGAGGGTGCGAAGCTCATTCCGATGGTAATTAGATTCCGATTAGCTAGCTTTTTATCTTGAAGTTTCATTACTGTGGCTTTTGCTATCTGGATACCGAGGAAGCTTCACGACCATTGGAAACGGATTTTTCAAATGAAAAATTATTAGAAATTCTAGGTTGAATTCCCCGCAATTTGTTTTTCTAAAAATAAATTGAATTGAGTTAACTAAACGGTTCTGTTACGTATGATTGGCTTCGTTGCTTGTTTGCTGTAGGGGATGTGCTGCTTCACTGTGTGGTCGATGCCATCCTTGGGGCGCTTGGTCTTCCTGATATAGGGCAGATATTTCCGGACTCAGATCCGAAGTGGAAGGGTTGCGACTCCTCTGTTTTCATCAAAGAATCTGTGAGTACAAGCTTTTTGAATGACTGTGTCTAACACTACGTATCTTCCTCTAATGATTTCCCCCTCCGTGTCATGCAAGTGTTTGTTGTCTTTTGTGAACAAAAGATTAATAATAATTATTCGCTACACTAGTTGGAAGGATATTTCAATGGTGATTTAGAGGCAATACGCGGAGTCTGTGAATCCCAATAAGTTGGTTGTGTAGAGATACTGCTCGATGTTTGCTAAAAGTGTAACTTTCGTATTTTTGGTCCCCCTTTGTACTGTTATCACTAATCAGCTTACCTTTTAGGTCAATCTAGCTTTCCCTGCCCCCTGCCTTGGCTAGTGAGATAACATCTTCGCGGAAAGGAAGACATAGATTAAGGAATAGTATTATGGTCCTTTCAACCGTGAATCTGAAGACAAATGAAGTAAAGAGGAAGGTTTTTGTTTGTTAACTTATGTAGATTTAAGAGGTGAGTTTGTGCGTGGACAGGATACTGATCAGAATTCAGAATCACGGGTTTGCCGATTCATGGCTTCTTGGGCAAATACTTAGAGGAACGGTTGGTAATATATTAGAGGCCGCTCCATGACTGTTTGCTCACATTTAATATGCTTGAAGTTGCGTTTGTTTTGTTTGTTTGTTTGTTTTTTGTTTGGTATGATTGCTGTAGAAGAAAGTCTCTGTTTTTGTTGTCTGCTTTATCTTTGACGAAATTTGGTGACAGAGAAAGCGTTTTACTGTGGATATTTTTTTAGCTTCGTGTAATCTTGGTGTCGCCTGTTCCTCTACAGGTGAGACTTATGCATGAAGCAGGTTACGAGATCGGAAATTTGGATTCTACATTGATACTTCAAAGACCAAAACTAAGCCCGCACAAAGAGGCCATCAAGGCCAACTTATCTGCGCTGCTTGGAGTCGATCCTTCTGTGGTAAATATCAAAGCAAAGACTCATGAGAAAGTTGACAGCCTTGGTGAGAATAGAAGTATAGCAGCTCACACAGTGGTCCTTCTGATGAAGAAGTAGAGGCTGGAAATTGTATTGGGGAAAGGAAAAAAAAAAAAAAGAGTTATGCTATGCTCAATATATATTGTTGTGAAATCTATGAATCATGCTTTATTACCATTTTTGGTTTTGCTGCTTATACAAATCAAATGGAGCCTGCATAATACTTGGTTTGAATAGCTGATTCTTTCTCATGACATCCTTGAAGGTTGAACTGAATGAATATGATCAATGAATTATAACTTTGAGAACTCGCTAAGAACTGGTTGTGGTCTATCATTTTTCTTGTGAAATAGTCATGCACAATGGATAATCCGATCTGGAGGACCTGGAATGATATTATGAATATAGAGAGAAGAGTAGACGATCAAAGGAATGAAACTAACCAAAATAGAACAGGGAAATTAGCAAAAGAGGAATAATGAAATATCCGTGGTGAGTGTTATTTCTCAACTCAGTATCATATTGAGAAAGTATTGCGTACAGATATCGATATCTAAGCTCAAAAAATAACCATTTGACCTTCTCATCAAGTTTAGCATTTACTTGATGGAATACAAAACACAGTCTCAGTAAATACGCATCGCATTTGTTGCCGGAGTGATGCTAACATAGTACTTCCTCCATTTTTATTTATAGATCACATTTAATTAATTTACACACACACACACACACACACACACACACACAAACAAAGAGAATCAGTTTATTGTCTTAAATTATTCCATCTTTTTAAAAAACCATTCGTCAAAAACAAATTCTTTATCATTTCTTTCAATATTTCTCTCCAATATAACCACACAATAATATCCATGCCAAGAGTTTTATTGGAGAAGAATATTAAGTGTTTCACAGGATTATAACTTAGGAATATAGAAAACTTACGGAATACAACTTATAAATAAAAAGAGATAGTACCTAACAACCATTCAAATGTGTTAGAAAGCCATGAAATACCATCTTAGTAAAATTGAAAGCCTACTAAGTGGGGATTAAAAGTGGGAGGATTGCTGATTGATAGGATTTTTGCATTCCTCTATTGCCAATTGTTCTGTTTTGAACTCGAACAAAGCACACGCTGATGATGACTACTTCTTCCACGGCTGCAAGAATATGTTAATTTCTGAGTTCTGATCTTAGCCATACGATGACATGGCAGTACACAGCCATATTCAGACACTTCATTCCTGGGATCGGAATTAAATCAACAACCGCGTGAATATGTGACAGTCAATAGTAGGAGGAAGAGGCGGTTTTTTCTGAAGCCCATATTCAGGTTTCGCCATTTTAACTTGGAAGTCAAACCTGTGCTCAGAAGCTAATCAAAGTTGAACCTGCCAAGTGTTGATCAAGACTAAACGCTGTGTACAGTGCCAGGACCAGATATATCGCACATGTTATGTAAATCGTGGACCTGGCTCGTGATCAGGTTTTCCAAGAATTATTCACCATGAATACGTGGTTGAAACTTGAAACTTGTTTTATAAAATTACCACGCACCTAACAGGCAATGGAAAAGGGCATACTCTTTCTCAATGTCCAACTCGACCACTTCATTAATTGTCCCGCGTTCAGTCAACCTCAATTCATTTCATTGACTTTTCGTCCCCACGAGTTAATGCAATTTCCAATATGCGAAAGTGTGAAGAACCTTCACTTTTACAGTGTCCCAAGGGCCATCTTCATGGATATGACGAAGTCCAACTGGAAATCTGTATTTCATGCAAGGTCCATTCCTGTTTGCCAGGAGTGGATATGGGGGTAAAAAAAAAAATTGAAGATGAAAAGACGCACCAACATTCTTCACCTCTAACTTTTTTTTAAGGTTAAAAGAAAACTTGTCACAATATATTTTTCGTAAAATATATAAAAATTAGATCTGTTATTGAATTGATTTAGATACTGATTTTAAAGGTTAATAGTTAAAATGATTATTAAATTGTGATAAATCGGTTATAAATAAAGTATTTTATTGAATCAGTTAAAATATTAATTTAATGATTTAACGGAAAGATTGAATAGATTTTTTATACTCTGATTTTTCATTCTATTTTTCCTTCTCGCGGGCTCAATGGAAGGTGACGATGTTTGACTATCTTCACTTACGCAGCACGTAGGGGGTGGAATTTCAAAGGGAAGAACTTGGACCAAAAACAAGTTTTCAACCTTCAAATGAAGTTTTTGTCTCAGTTCAAACCAAATAAATGAACGATGGAATATTACCAGACAAAGCCGGTCCAATTAGGGGTATGGACTATGGACGTGGAAAGTTTGAGGAATTAAAACCAAGCACGAGATTAAGGCTTACCAGGAAAATCATTTCTCACTGTCCCATTTGAAAATTAACAATTATTCCCCCAACAAAATTATGCAGCACTTTTTACACGTTACATCATACGTAATCAACTCAATTCATCATTAATTCCATCTCTACAATGTGCTGTTCTTTGATATTATATATAGTCATTGGCGTGAATTAAATGAACTTACTGAAACAAATCGAAACGTTATCAAACGTGCAATCTATGTGGATAATAAACTGGTGAAACAAGATCTGATATAATCAGGCCAGAAGAGATGTCGGCTGCATTGAATAATTCTAGATTCATGGAAACGGCAAAGGGTATCCTTTTTTGAATAATCCTCTGGAATATATTTATATATATATCGAGGATAATCACATGCTTAAATGATTAATCATGTTTGCAGTTTGCAAAGTTCAACTAATGCACATGAAAAAGGAAAGAAAGAATTAATTGGCCAGTTCAGCAAGTTCAAATCTTTGGGCTCTTTATCCTCAATTTCTCTCTTTTCGGAATTATTAGATAAATCAAAAAAATTATTTGCTTGGTGATTCATTGCCGTGTGACAACCTGCGAGCAGCTGAGCAACACAGCATTGCCCCCACTAGCTCACCTACTTATTGAGGAAGCAGAAGTACAAAAACACTAAAATAATTCGTATGAAAATGGTTCATTTGTCCCTAAAACGCATGACAATATTAATTTGAAATCAGTTTAACTCAACTAATGTTTCATCAAGCAAAACATCGAAGCCAGGCCGAGCCGCGCCCAAATAATTAAAACAGAAAAACACAAATATGTAATTGTCATTGTTATCCTAAAGGTTAGCAATCAAATCAGAAGAGCCTACAGAATCATTCCCGAGTGGGATACAGCAGAGTGATGACGTTAACGGAGGATACAGGGGCAGGATTATTAATGGCAGAGACAGTGATAACCGAAGCCAAAAAATGACGTGTTGCCTCCACTAGGACAAGTGTCATTGACTCATTGGTCGGAACTTGAACACGCAACAACCAAGTCTGTGCGACACCCCTCGTTCGCACGAAGCTTCACTTTAGACTTCGTAAATTTTGTCGGAGAACCATCTGCATATAAAGAGATCCATTGGCGAGGTTGTGGTTCAAGTTACACGCTCACTTCGTAATCAATTCGTCCCTTCTTCACACTCAGCCCCTTCTCTCCGTCTCTCATTCTTCCTCTTTCCCTCTTGACTTTGTGCTCATTAATCCAAATACATTTCTAAGCAGTTCGGAAGAACAATATACAATGTTGTCGAAGATTGCGACCGGCAACGGACACGGTGAACACTCCCCATACTTTGATGGATGGAAGGCCTATGAAAACGATCCGTTTCATCCCACCAACAATCTAAATGGGGTTATTCAGATGGGTCTAGCTGAAAATCAGGTGTGTGTAACGCATTAATGAGTTGAAACTTGTTTTAAGTTTAGCTCAGAAGCTGATATTATTGTCATCTGTGGCAGCTCACATCTGATGTGATTGAAGAGTGGATAACGAGTAATCCAGAGGCCAGTATTTGCACCCCAGAAGGAGCCCGAGATTTCAGGACCATATCTAACTTTCAGGACTATCATGGCTTGCCAGAGTTCAGAAATGTGAGTGCCTATCAATTCAGTGTTTGATTAATCAGGAAAATAAACATCAAACAAGTTGATAGTGATTTTAATTATCAGCAAACTAACAAAGAAACGAATATATGCACAGGCTTTGGCCAAATTCATGGCAAGAGCAAGAGGAAGCAGAGTCACATTCGACCCTGATCGTATAGTTATGAGCGGCGGAGCAACCGGAGCACACGAAGTCACCGCCTTCTGTTTGGCAGATCCTGGTGATGCATTTTTGGTACCCACACCTTACTATCCAGGGTATTACACGCCACCTTGCACCTTCTCTTTCTAATTTTTCATAATTAAACCGCAGATTCTAAAGTGGGTTAGGTTTACAATGATGTTCACATAAATTGAAACTTTAGCTATTTCCATTGTTTGACTTCCCTTGTTTTTAAATGAGAAATGATTGGCCTTTTCCACTTCAATAATTTAAACAATATCGTTTTTTTAATGTTACAGTTTTGATCGGGATTTGAGATGGAGAACAGGACTTCAACTTGTCCCAGTTGTCTGCGAAAGCTCGAACAATTTCAAGTTGACGACAAAAGCGTTAGAAGAAGCGTATGAGAAAGCCAAAGAGGATAACATCAAAGTAAAGGGCTTGCTCATTACCAATCCTTCAAACCCACTGGGGACTATCATGGGCAGTGAAACATTGAAAAGTGTGGTTAGCTTCATCAACGAAAAGAAAATCCACCTCGTATGTGACGAAGTCTACGCTGGGACAGTTTTTGGCGAGCATGGTTTCACAAGCATCGCTGAGATTATAGAGGAACAAGACGTGGAATGTAACCGTGACCTCATCCACATCGTTTATAGCCTTTCAAAGGATCTTGGAGTTCCTGGGTTTAGAGTTGGCATCATCTACTCCTATAACGATGATGTTGTGAATTGTGCTCGCAAAATGTCCAGCTTTGGATTAGTGTCCACACAAACCCAGAATCTTCTTGCATCGATGCTATCTGATGATGAGTTTGTGGATCGATTTCTTACAGAGAGTGCGAGTAGGCTTGCCAAAAGATTCAGACTTTTCACAAGAGGACTCGGCCAAGTTGGCATAAAGTGCTTGCAGAGCAACGCTGGTTTGTTTCTGTGGATGGATTTGCGTCATCTTCTAAAGAAGCAGGAGACCGAAGCAGAAATGGAGCTGTGGAAAACGATCATTCATGAAGTTAAGATCAATGTTTCGCCTGGTTCTTCATTTCATTGCCGCGAACCAGGGTGGTTCAGGGTATGCTATGCTAATATGGATGATTTGGCGGTGGAAGTTGCTTTGACAAGAATTCGCAGTTTCGTGCGTCAAAATACAGAGACCAAGGTACCTGCAAAGAAACTGTGCTGGCAGAGCAGCTTGAAATTGCGATTAAGCTTTAAATCGAGGAACATCGATGATATGATGATGATGATGTCACCTCACTCGCCATTACCTCAATCACCTATGGTCAAAGCCACCATGTGAAGTAACGGTCTCTGCACAATCAAGATTGTTTAATTTTGTTCGTTGATATGTTTCTTACCTTTTTTGTAAGTGTACATTACTTGCAAGAAGGTTGTACGTTTGACGACAATAAGAAGGCATTCCTGCAACTGTATCACTGATGGATGCCTTGATAATTGTTGCTTCGGTCTCGAAGGCTTTTTCTTTTTTCTTTTTTCACTTTCAGAATGATGTGTTCTTGGTGAAAGAAGTTCATGCAGTCTTGGTTCAAAAGATTGCAATTGATACATTAATTAGTCCTGCTCCATTAAATTGTGAAACATTGATTGAAGAATTGTAATAAAACGTCTTCATTTTTCTCTTCTTTGTCCATCTCATGCTCTCTCTACATTTCACTCTCATATTTGCTGTCCCCTGTCAATCCTTCTATATTGGCCTATGCTTAGATGCCTTCTTTGATGCTTGCCAATATTTAAGATTTCATGAAGTATGTCAATCTCATGCAGCCTTCTTTCTGGGCATTGATATTCTCTCTGTCCCCTGTCACTCCCGCGGTGGTCTGGTGCAAGATTCTCACAGGAACTTCATCATGTGTATCTAAGATTTCATGAAGTTAGATTCCGCCAACTGCATGCTACAGAGCTAATTCATATATTCGGTGTCATATGAAGGGCTTCAAGATATGATATGTCCAATTAAAAGCAAGCACATTAGCCACAAGATGTTTGATTTAGCTTTGTAAGGAAGTTGCAACAATTTAAAATCTCAAGTTCAAGTTTAGAAAATACAACAATATTGATTGTTAAATTTTTATCTGGAGTACTAAATATTGAAAAAGTCAAGTTAAAGTACTGAGTCAAGAGTTAATGATTAAAATTATAATTAAATTATTGTCAACCCAATCATAAACAAATCATTTCATTGAATCAATTAAGATATTAATTCAATAATTTATTAATTTAATCAGTCAAGTTTATTTGGATTTGAATACTATATTCCTACTTGAATGGGTCCGATCAAAAACTAATTTAACTTGGTCCTTTAGGTTAAAATGAAGCAAGCCCAATATACTAGATGCTTCACGCAAGGGTAAGAAAACACAAAAAGTACATTGTAGTGTGTTACTTACTATTACTAATGAGTAATGATCCGACCTAAGGAGTCAATGCGGTGCTTGAACATAGTATTGGAGACGCTAGACGACTATGAAAGCTTAATTGGAATATCATAGTAAAACATGCCTACCTCCAAGCTAATGAAGGCTGACTTGTCAGGAATAGTGCGGCTTCCAATATGTATAATATGTTTTTTTTTTTTTAACTGATCCTCTGTTACTTTGTAAGAGGTTAATGGACTTGGACAAGCCTTGTAATCTATGTTACTCTGCTCTGGAAGAGTATGTCTTCGAAATAGTAACAGCCCAAGAGTCCAATACGCTGGATACTCAGGTAAAAGGAAAACAAAACAACGCTGGATACGGAAGATGGAAGGCTCGAGCCAGAGATTTGTTTCATTAGCAATTCCACTCCTTGACTATAAACATATTTGGATTAAATTCTAACTTTAGTTAGAATAAGTTAAACTGAGATTAGGATATAAAATGTTAAAAAAAAAATATTTGGATTAACATAATTTTTAACCTTAGTTAGCATGTGAACACGTGTTAATGTTGAAACCCACTGATCTGGCTCCTCTCTTCTAAGCCTTAGCTTTAATGCCCGTTGGAAGCATTAAATACATTTTAACTTTTGATGCTTTCTCTCTCTTGCTTTTTATCTACACGGCCGGTATATCAACTTCGTCGACTTGGGTGAGTAGAGCAAAATGTGAAATACCTTCCTTTTCAGGAAAAGTAGAATCAATGCACATCAGTGAAATGTCATTTGTTTTTGTGAAATCCTTGATTTTCTCAACGAAAGCTGCTTGGGTTATGATCATCTTCAACTTGAATGTGGTGGCTTGTTTTGCCAGCTCGGCCGGAGTGAGTAAGGGGTTTGCCATGGTCACCGCTACACCGGCGAAGGAAGCTCCCAGGAAGGCCAGAGCGAACTGGGGACAGTTACGGAGAACCAGCATGATGACGTCACCATGTCTGATGCCGAGTTTGCTGAGGCTGGCGGCGACATGGCGGGCGGTGAGTTCCACCTTGGCATAGGTAAAGGACTCACTAGTGTCACCGTTAATGAGGTAGGGTCGATCTTTGACGAGCGATAGGTTCTTGAAGACGTAAGTGTGTAGTGGAAGGTGTGTAGGGATGTAAATGTCGGGGAGTTTTGGACCGGAAGATGAATTTCGTCGAATGAGTTTGATAAGTGAAAATTGCTTCAGTTTTTTGAACGAACAGGGAGAAAGAAACACACACACAAAGATAGAGAGAGAGAGAGAGAGATGAAGGAGGCGATTAGAATAATTCGATGCTGCTCTCGTATGGATGGAGTTTGGTTGGTGGGGTGTGTGGAGATTTCGTCTTAGTGGCACCCAGTAACTTTGAATAACTACTCAAGAACATGCACGTCTATTGGTGAGACATTCCCATCAAATTCACCCACATCATCATGACAAATACACAAATACGGCGCCTAGATCAATTTATAAATTATATTAATTAAATATTAATTAATTTTAAGTTTTTTATGATTGAATATTTAAAATATTTTACTTATTAGTTGTGATTTTAAGGTTAATATTTTTTATTTATTAATTAGTCAAAAAAATATAAACATACTTATTTAAGATTTAATATTTAAAATAAAAAAATTCATGCTTATTTTTGTTATTAAATATTTCAACTGGCTTTAATTCTAGTTTATGTAATTGACTTTTGAAAAAAAAAGATATCCAAACATAAATCATGTTATATCAATTGACTTTTTTTTTAATCTTAATTTGCTAATTTCAATTGAATTCTAACCTCAATTGTAAATTTTTTAATCCAAACACACACACATATCACCCCCCCAAAAAAAATCCACTCCTTTACATCTAAAACATTTTCAAAAAAAAAAAATCATATATTTTAATATTAAAATGCATTTCACGAATTTTTAAATGCAACTAATGATTTTTTGCATAAAATATCTCTTGGAGTCTATTAAAATTATTTTCATTTTTTAGATGCAATTAATTAATGATTAACATTTGTAACACCCTCAAATTTACAAACCGATTTTTCGCAAATTATTAATTCAACAAATTATTTTTTTTGAACCCTTATCATACCCTTATTATGGTAGAAAAATTTCTACCATGATACATCCAAGATAATATACCACAGGTCTTAAAATATCTCAAAAAGCAATTAGAACTATGAGGGACAGACAAGATCCTCATGGCATGATATTCAAATTAGGTCATGAATCAAGAGGGACAAACACAATCTTCATGGTCATATAAATGCATTTAATAAAAAGAATTAGAATTTACATGTTGTCAAAATAAGAAATGTCCTAGGTTGACACAAGATACATTGCATAATACAAAATGAGAGGCAACATAAAAGATGGTGTCTCATACATCAAAGTTACGCCTCTGGTGCTTTCTCGGCCGGACTCTCTCCTGTAAAAATATTAACCACAGGGAATGAGACTTAAAAGTCCCAGTAATCAAAAATTAATATGTAATGATGCATGCGGATGTAACTAATCATACGATTGCTAAATGGACACACAAAAACATTTAATCGCACAATATTTCCAAACAAACCGAACAAGTATTTAATTTGCATGACTGCACCTTATATCCTCCTTTCGCCATGCTCGGACGCCAAATCACCTGGCCAAAGGTGAGTTGGACCAAGCGACACGCCATTCATTGGGTCCAATGAGGGCTTACCACGTGGTAATAATTAACCGAACAGAAATTTCCATTAACACCATACATTAAAATACCCTGACAAATCATGCCTCATTCAAATATCCAAATAAAAATATATCCGAACAATAATATCTCATCTTGATAAACAAAAATAAATTTTTAATCCACTTGACAATAATTTCAAATATGTATATAACAGTATTTATTTTTAATAATTCATAATTTTTTCCAAATAACAAAACAACACATAACTATTCACAAACACACCCATCACAACACATTAATAATGGTTACCTTGTGTCTTGAATAACAAGTTTCCCTTTACAACTCCTTTTTTACCACTATCTTTGTCAATATAATCTACATAATTATTTCACAATACTATATATTAATATTACATTAAAATAAATAACTCTAATTTAAAGAATTAAAAAGTCTTAGATCTATAATTCATATTAACACTAATTTAAGATTTATGCCTCATTTAACTTCTCAAATTCTTTTCTAAAATTTTTGTACCCTGATAAACTATTTTTAAGCCTCAAATCACTTCTAGTATTATAATTTCATCCATCTATATTCTAAAAATTCGTTAAAAAATAAATTAAAAATTTTAGAATTATTCTGAGGTCTCAAATCACCTTTCTATAACCTCAAAAATACCTATTCATACTTAAATAAATATTTAATAATTAAAATTTTATCCCTACATCTCAGATTCAACATAAATTCAACCATATAGATCTAAATTTTAACTCAAAAATTCTTAAACATGAGTTTCAATCTCAAGAAAATATTCTATAATATTTATTATATCCCTAAGAGTTTTAACCTATATTTTTAATCCATCATATCATCAAATTAACTATTCTAAAGAAAAATTCTAATCAGAATATTTACTCTATCCTACAAAATAATCATATAACTAGAAATCTAATATTATTTAGAAAATAACTATAAAATTATTTTTGTACTTAAATAAATTTTTAAATGCTAATCTAAATAGGAAAGTTGGAGCATATCTGAAGGATAGAGTAAATATTCTGATTAAAAGTAACACACATTATTGCGAAATAGCTCGTGGTTCTACTTATGTGTGTGAGAGAGGGATACAGATTAGAATTTTAAATTTTATTCATTATTTTTAAATTAAAATTATGAAATTATGAATAAGTTAATACAAAGTTGAGATAAAGGAGAGATATTTGAATAAAATATAGTTTTATTTATTTTTAAAAATTTTAAAAATAAATAAAGCAAAATAGAATTGGGGACATATTTCATTGTCAGTCATGCTTGCGATACATATTCTTTTATTTTTACATTAAAAATTTTAAATTATAAATAAATAAATTAATAAGAAGTTGGAATAATTAATATATAAATATTTGGAGGTTAGGTAATTTTATTTATTCTTAAAAATTAAAAAAATAGTTAAAATAGAATCATGGCTATATGACGTTATTAGATGCTGGTTGCAGTAAATAAGCTCCTTATTATTTTTAAATTAAAAATTTGAAATTATGATAAATAAGTAGATGGAAAGTTAAAATAATTGAGAGATATTTGAGGGTAAGATAATTTTATTTATTTTTAAAATAATTGGGAGATATTTGAGGGTAAGATAATTTTATTTATTTTTAAAAATAAATAAAGCATAATAAAATTAAGAACACATGTCATCATTAAATGTGGCTTGCAGTTTTGCTATTATATAGATGCATAGAAGACATTAAAAAAACTAAAAGATTGGTGAATTAAGAACTAAGATGAAAGATTTGGAAATTTGAAATAAAGACCAAAGGTCTTTTACCATCATGTGATTTGCAACTCTCAAAATAAAAATTTACAAACGAGATTCACTAATTTATAAGAAGAATTATCAAATATATACTTGCTGACAAGCAAAAACAATCAACATAAAACTAAACCATTAATTTGCGCCTATACTTAACTTTCTTGCTAGTGAACTAATTACTTTTGTCGTTTGATGTCGAGACAGTTTCCCATTGTCCTCTATATAACCAAATCTCAGGATAAGAATGATGTTGGTAAGCAAAGGGTGATTTAACGTAAATTTAAAACAACCCAAGATTAGTTAGACGTTGATTCAAAACTAAAATTAAAAAATAGCATCATTTAACATATATCCCCAGCTTCTTCTTCTAGTTTTTTTTTCCCCAGTATAACTGCTAGCTTCCGTTAATCAATGAAAAACATATACAAGATGGCGATACAGGTTCCTCCTGAGGGCTTGTGTGATTTGCCCTCGGTTAATAACAGAATAAAGAATAATATTTATATTAAGTTGTTTTGAAATCTGGGGAAATTAAACAAACTATAGCCTGAGTGTTGATGATGATAAGAATAAGATGGACTTGGCCGACTCGCCTTGTACAATACGTTTATTTTTACTGTGAATTGCTAATTAAAGTATTAAACCAATGAAAGAAAACAAACTTAGGATGTCATATCTGACATCACCAGTCACATAATAATATCACCTTTTAGGCGATTGAATATATAAGATACTGTCATGTTATTCAAGAAATCATCTCATCGTAATATATAGTAGATGGCGACATGTTTATTTATTTATTTAAAAAAAAACTAGCAAAAAAGAAGAAGCGTATTATAAGTTGCAACATGCATCTGTTAAGCACTAAGCAAGCAGAATTCGGTTGTGATAATCTGCTTCTGCAGTACTACCTCTCGTCATATATATAAATCATTGTTAATTACCTCACTAAAGTTTAGAAAATATAATTAAATTATTGATGTTATCTAAGAAAAATTAAATTTATTTTTATTAAATATATCATATTTAATAATACACTTTATTTTTCATGTAAGTCTTTACTCTCTACTTATAAAAAATTGTGAAAGAGTAAAAAAGAAGAAGTAAACAATGATCTATATTTTTATGCAAAAATACTTTATAAAAAGAACCATGAATTTTTTTTTAAAAAAACTGACCTGTATATAAGATTAGAGGAAATATAACACTTAAATTAAAAGTAAAAGCAACGAATGTTAAATGGTTGGACCCCTCCAACAGATTTCTTATTTTGGCTCCAAAACTAACCAATTTGTTTTAGCATAAGTAGTTTGCCAACTTCAACTTCCTGACACGCGAAAAATAACTTAAAATTAAAAAATAAATGAAAGGATGTTTTACTTCCTATTTTTCACTGCTGGGACTTGAAATTGAGAGATTAACAATTTTGGTGTGGTCAAAAAAACTGGGCCGTTTCAATTGAAAGGGTCAAAGAATACAGTAAAGGTAAATAATAATACAGTAGTTGGTTGAGACTTTACGGTATTGGAATTTCACTTTTCTAATATATATATTTTTTTTCAGCTATGCAAAACACTGCGGCAGTGAGTCCGTGTCTTTCTGGTCCACTACTATTACCTACTTTACCTATTTAAGTTTTCTTTGACGATGTCTAACGTACGGTCGAATTTTAATAAACGATCTAGCAACTTAATTTAAAATGAAGATCAATAAAATCTCAAATTACATCTCAGGATCAAGGAATTAAATTAAAACTATGTTTTGGTAAAAATTTATTAAAATGCTCTTTATGTTTTGATGCAACATATGTGAAGGACGATGGTTGAGTTTTTTTTTTTAAATAATGAGAAAATTACTCATTTAGTTTATGTATTTTTGACTCAATTGTAATTCAACTTTAAATTTTAACTCATTATAACTTAATCTTTATAGTTTTAACTTAACTAAAACTTATTTTTAAATTTTGCCTCTTGTAACTTCCCTATAATTTTAACCATTTAAATATTTGTCCATACATTTTTTAAAAAATAAAATTATAAATATTAAAATTATTTTAAAATTTTAATATTTATAAATATTAAAATAGTTTAGTAATTCAAAATACTAGCCCTAAATTTTAAAATAATTTTAATCTTTATAATTTTATTTTTTTAAAATATAGGAACCAATATCTTAAATAATTAAAATCATAAGAATTAAATTGTAAGAATTAAAGTTTAGAAATTGAGTTACAATCGAATCAAAACTTTAAGGACTGAGTTATGACTGAGTCAAAATCATAATGATCAAATGATTAATTTTTTCTAAAATAAATAACAGGAATTTTGGTTATTTTTCATCAAAACATAATTTCAATGTAATCTCCTAACCCTGCAATGTAATTTTATATTTTATTGATCCAGATTTTAAATTAAATTTTTATTGTATCTTTTACTGAAAATTTCCCAAAATTATATGCCATGGATTTTATTTTTTTACTTTTTAAGAAAAAAGATTGTTTTTGAACTAGCTGAGCGTCCAATCCCATGAATAAAGAGAGGTGGTTTCCAAATTAGTGGGATGCCATATTATACATTTTACAATTGTTTTTAAATATGATACGACAATCACTTTTTAATTGAAAATATTAAGTCATTTAACAAGTAATAACATTTAATGACATTCCCTTGATTACTATAGAATCAACGGAGTTATGATGCTATTAGCTATAAATTCAATAAGGTTGATAGTGTTGTTGAGACAACCCTCCTAATCCACAAGTTTCATAAATAATTTACAAAACTAGCAAAGGAATCAAAGCTACCTCACAAAAAATTAAAACTGAGGTCAACGTATGGCCTCAATTGGATTTGCATTCAGTCCCAGTTCAAATATAATTATCATCCTATATCATAATTTACAATACACCAGACCTTTCTAGACGTCAAAGAGTTAACAATACCTACAACACCCTGTCACCTATTCAATCTTATTCTTAGAATTTTGATATTTAATTATTAAATCACGTATCATATTTTTGTCAATATTATATGTTTATGATACTTTAAAGGAAAACAATTAATTATGAGAATACAAGGAACTAATTATTCCATAGATTATACTCATAAATTGTTACCAATCCGATTCTGTGTATCCATGTGCTTGTAGAGATTAAACCTCCCACCCAAAAAAAAAAAAAATCAGATTTTTTTCAAGCTATTATGTATTTCTTTTCATCTCTCTTCCTGATGTATTATATATTTCTTTTTTGTGAAAAAAAAAAATCCAGATTTCTTTCGTTCAAGGGATAAGACCAAAATTTATTCGTTCAAAATCTCTATAGCCTCTGTTATTTCAGAGAGACATAATCCTCAGGGCCACAATATAAAGTTTGAGTGAATCCACCAAAGATACAGAGAAACACTGCAAATACACGAGTGAACGAAGCAATCCTAACCCTGACTCATCTCAACTCTCAAGAACTCCTTACTATTATATTCATCACATATATATAACAAGCATAGACCAAAAAACAAACAGAGAATAAAAACATGAACATGAAGATTAAGAAATAACACAAGCATTGGGATTCTCTTCAGCACTATGAACCTGATAGTATGTAGTCATGTAGGGATTATAAGCTCTGTAAAGCCTGGCAAGCTCAGCAGCCTGTTCATTTGGATCTTTCTTCTTGTCATCTTCCTTCTTCGCTTTGCCTTCGTCTTTCTTGCCTTCTTCCTTCTTCTTCTCCGGCTCTTTGGCCGGCCCCACTGTTAATATCTCTGTGTACCACACTTTCCTCAGCTTGCTCACCACGTCCACCGGGTCTATGTCCCCTATTACTGTCAGTTTCTTCTCCTTCATGTCCATGGCTATGGAGTCAATCCCTGCACACTTCACATTAGTTCTGCTTCTCTGTGGCAATTAATCAGTATGGACAAGGTCTCTTCTTTGGGAAAATTTGATCGTAAATAAACTAATAAAAACGAAAGAGGTAATAATTTCGGATGGGTAGACCCAACAAGACTGAGGTTGCAGACTTGCAGGAGTACCTGGAAGGCTAGAAACCATTTTCATGGCTTTCTGTTTTGCTTTGTCATCGTGCAAATCCAACTTCAGCACCACCTTCTGCAAATAGCACCGTAAATAAGAACTTATATGGGAAAGGACCCAACAAAACAGGTGGATCATGACGGAGACATGAGATTCAAGAAAGAAGCAGAGCAAGATTCGAGAAAGAAGCACAGCAAACAGAGTGGAGGTGATAGAAAGACATCAAAATTCAGAAAATCAGGAAAACGGAGAGGGAAGATACTGTAACTCATACCAATAAAGAAAAGAGGAAGAGAAAACAGAGAGTGAAAAGTCTGACCTTCATTTCCCTTTGATCGTGAATTCTGACAACAAATTGGACTGTTGAAATACTATTCTAGAGTAATCCTGACGGAAAGAGAGGGAGAGGAAGAGCGTGTGTGTGTGTGTGTGACAATAAAGAGGAGAGGAAGAGGAAGAGGGAATGAGGTTTAGAGGAGCAGAGAAAGAAGGGACTCAATGAGAGTCTAAAACGAAGTCAGACAAATTGCCCCTTTGATTAAAGAGAGCGTGAGATGAACAAACAAGGAACCAATCGCACGATCACTCATTGACGTAAGGCCAACGCCTCACTGTTCCAGTGTCCCATCTTCCGGAGACTCCTCCAAATGGCCGCCATACAGGATAAAACAAAATATAGGTGTTTGCTGGAGAAAATAGATTACAGACTGGTAGAGCAGATTTGTTTTTAAAGCATAAAAAATGGAGATAAATAGTTACGCACAGTGATTCGGATTTTGATTTATATCAAATGAGAATAATTATTTGAGGTTGGGGAAAACATGTTGTTTAATGTTAAAGAGCTTTTCCCAAGTTATACTGAAGGGATTATCCACGTTGGCGCTCCATTTTTTAAGGTTTATGGCCTTGGCAGTTAGTTCTGAATCTATGCGATATGCTGCCTCTCCACGTTGTCGCTTTCGAAACAAAAGCCCAACTTTTTCCCACTTCAATTCATTCGCCTTGTAATTCTCACGCTGACAGGGACTTACCGTCCTTAATCGAGTTTATATGTACACACTACAGACACAAAACTAAACAGGCACAGTGGGCTAACTTGTTACAGCGCCGTTATTTATTTGCCAGAGCAAAATCGTATATCAATCTCCCTTGATTATGAAAATCTCTATGCTACATTGCCACCTCTTCTTTAATTTTATGGTCTATTCATGCAATGGTAGTTTGAAAGTGCATTCGCCCAAAGGCGTTTTTGGTTAATTGACACGTTATCTGAGCGGTACTTGAAAAGGCCCGAAAAGTCGTCTACTTCCCCACAACCACAAGAATTCTACGGCGATCGTTAATTTGCCAACTATATATATATATATATCTCTGAACTCAGCGTCGGCTACATCTATATTCTATACACAAGAATCTCGGATCGGTTTTCACTTCTCAGCCTTTTTTTTTTTTTTTTAAATCTTGCTTTGTTCTTTATGTACTGTGACGTGTTTGTTTAACAAATTTCTTTTTCGGCCAAGGGAAAAAACTGATGTGCCAGGGATAACGACTAACGAGTCTCTGGTGGTTTAGCTCATTGGCATTTCTCTTTGTAAAAATTAAACTTCTGGGGGTTAAAAACCAAGGCAAATCCCTTTCCGCTACTTCTCATGTCAAGCCAATAAGAAAAACGAGCCCTTAATTAAATTGCATTTTCAATTCCCCATAGCATGCACAAAGAAACCATCGAGGGACAAAAAGCAAACCAGGGTGAAGAATTATATGTTGCAATGAGAGCAACTATCTAAATTGGTGATTCTTTTGTTTCATACTTTCATTAACCAAACTAAAAGAAAGTAGCAGCTAGAACAGCACTTGTATCATGGATGCGGCACCAAAAGAATAATATAACACACTCCTCCGTTCTTAATTTTCTCTACCTTCATCTCAATTGGTTAATTTTCACAAATATAGAATACACTTCTCCGTTCTAATTTTCTCTACCTTCATCTCAATTAGTTAATTTTCACAGTATAATTGAATAAATTATCTAGCATCACTAATTCTACAATGGCTTGGATTTTGCAAAATAGCACACGCAAATCCAACGTCTGGCAAAATGGTTAATAGTTCCCAGCTAATCAAGCAGCTAGATAATATTAGAGGCCAACTGAGCAAAGATACTGTGCAAGTTATACATGATTTGGAATTTGGCGTCCCTATAAGCGCTCAGCAGATGTCAAGAACAAAATTGACGTTGCAAGTAGGAAGACTCAATTATTAAGGATTTACGGAGACGTCATATGGCGTCAAGTCCCCTCAAGTGAAATATTTGACATGAAAGATCAAAAGATCTCTTCCCTTAAAGGAGTGATCTCCAGTGATGGCTGATAATCACTGGCATCAGCCGTAAAAGAAGATGAAATACAGAATGGATGTTTGGACAAACATTGCAGCTTCAACCCAAGGATGCCCCAACAAGGGCTAGGGCCTCTTCCACTGAAGATGCCTTTTCAAGTTCGGCTTTATCAACCACAGGCTGACTTCTGGCAAGTTTGGGAAGCAGCTGAAATTCCTGAATCATACGACACATTATCAGTTTTCCAGGTATGGTTAGCTATGTGACCAAGATAGCAGGAATTCTTCTCTATGATTATCAATGTCTTTCTACTCAACAAGCACTACTCTCTTCTACTTTTTCAAGGTCCAAATTTTGAACTTCAAAAAAACCAGAAAAACTTTCCATAAACCTGTCCCTTTGCGACGAACAAATTAATGTGCATATCCTGTTTTCTTATTTCAACTATATTAGTATCGTTGAGGATAGAGCAGTTAAGTACCTCAGGGCTCCCACTTTCAAGGAGGACTCCTTTTAGCTTTCCTGCAATGCATCAAGTTTTCACTTTCTCAGTAACAGTGAATCAACAAGAAGCAGCAGCAGCAGCTTTATCCCACAAGGTGGGCAGTAACCGCGAATCATGGGGAAAAAGTGTTTTCTTTTCCCACAGAAATACTTAATGCATTCACGCACACAAACTACCCTCCTATACATTCACACAGATGTACGGTCCAGTGTCAATACATGAGGGAAAGAAACTAAAAAACCCAATTACCAGATTCAATCCAGAAAGTAGCAATTTTAGGATCAAAATGCCCGACTTCAACAGTTTCCCCAACTGTACAAAGCAAAATCAACAGTAAGAGCAATAAGTGATTGAAATTTCATAAAAAGACGTGGCAATCATATATGTGTGTGTGTGTATTTTTTTTCTAAGGTAAAGTGGCAATCATATATTATTGAAATTGATCTTTACCATTGTCTCCGAAAAATTGCCACCAAACTTTTCTGGGGCTCCCTTCATATTCAAACACCCTTGAGTAGAAGTATGGAAGATAATCATACCTGAAAATCATCAAAAAAAGAATGTTCAATTACCCGAAGGAGGGGGGGAAGCTCACCAAAACTGACGTTCGAGAAGTCAAGTCAGAGGAACAGAAGATCCAACATACGTGTGAGTTTGTGCACTGAGTAATGCTTTCACACAGTGATGTGCAGATCGACGAGCATGATCCACATGTTCAACTCGGGAGATACGATTGTATATCTGTTCAGTTTTTCATAAATACATGATTTCATGTTGAAAATGAGTGATCACAACTTAACTCAACTCAAGAATGGCAGACCTTCAATGGGAAAGCTGCTACGTCACCAATGGCAAAGATTCCAGGAATACTTGTCCGAAATTGACCATCCACCTGAAATAGGCAGATACATTTAGATGAAGTCCTTCAGACTCTGATTTGGGGCTTGAGCTTATAAACACTCAACTTCCATCTGCAAATTGGGGTGACTTGAAGAAACTGTACATGATCTTCAAAAATCAATAAAATGGCTAATTTCAAAACAGTCTTGCAAAAGAAAAAAAAAGTGAAGGAAAGCATCGTTACAACATCTATAATAGATGCTCCCCCCGTCCACTTTATCAATCACCTTCTAGAAGGATGAAGTGATCTACTTTATAAGTCGTTGGATTGATAATGATATTTTATTTTAAATGAAATGTCTAAACTATCCTTAAAAAGTAAGAGAGAGAGAAACAAAAAAATTAATATTATATAGTTTACTTACTTTTTGAGGGTTATATTTGTAATTTTACTAAATTTTATTCTTTGTACTTTTGTTGTAGTTATATTGATGAGATTGGTAGAAATTATTTATAAATAAGACTGGCGGGAGTATTTTTCTTTTTTGAAAAAAGAGTATTGATCATGAATTTCGTTGCCAACATTCTATCCTTCATTAGACTCACCTGTATACCACCAACATCTTTATTCAGACCCACCCTCTCAAAGGGACCAACTGCAGGTTTCGCTCCAATGCCTATAATTACCTGCAAGCCAAAAGCGATTCGGTTTATTGAATTTGTCCTCCTTCTATGATGATAGCACCTCTATTATATAGTGCAGTAAGTTGAATATTATTAGAGGTGCAATTAAACAAGAATTAAGTTACAGTCAGATATGAAAATATATAAATATTTTATTACTGTATCTGCTTCTATAGTAGATCCATCTCCAAGTTTCACAGCAGTTACATGCCCATTGGAACCAGCTTCCAAGTTTTTAATAGAGGCACCCTGGTGGATATGAAATTTAAAAGAAAGAAAAATTAGGGGAAGAGTTTGGAGAAATTAATGGCTGCACCAACATTAAAGATGGGTTAGGAGTTAAAACAATATGAAGACCAAGAGAAAGAGAGGACAACGGAATGAGGGATTGCCTTTAAGATTTTGACACCATTCTTTTGGTAGAGTTCTTCATATCTTCGAGCGAGAGAAGGAGTGAATAGTCTTTGCAATAAATGATCCTCTGGAAATATAATCTATTTTCAAAGGACACGTAAAAAGTTCTGAATTAGCAGATAAAAACTATTATACAAAATGGCCAGCTATCTTTAATTAATAGCAGAAATGTATGGAGGGTAAAACCAATATTGTCTAAGGCACAGCTGAAAATGATAAAATAAAACGATGGAAGTTTTACATGGAAATTGTCAACCAGAAAAACCCAGCAATAAAAATACTGATGGAGGCAGAATACGTACTGTTGTATCAAGCTGCCAACCAGTAGCAGCAGCAGCAACCTCCATTCCTATATAACCACCTCCAACTACAACTACCTTGCGTGCTTTCCCCTAAAAATGTGTTAAGATTAATTTATTTGATCGACATTACATTTTAAACAATAAACTCATTTTGAAGTATCATTTGCATGAAATAAACAGCAGTCGTAACTTCTCTCAATTCACACTGAAGTTATGCTTATTCTGGGTTGGCATATTAATATCCTCAGAAAAATTCTAAGGACTGACTACAAAAAATAAAATTTTGAAGGCTTGCATATCAAATAATCAAATCATTATAAGGAGCTACAGGATCAAATTCGCCGCTCAAATCAAAGGAACATTGAATTACATTATTGGAATGAATAAGATTACCAATGATGAGACTAGTGAATCAGCATCTGCAACATCACGGATGTAGTGAACACCAGGTAGATTTCCCCCAATTTTCTCCGGGAACCTAAAAGCAAGATAGTCAAGATAGATGATTTTCTGCACCAGTTATTGCATATAAAACTTGAAAACCAAAAGAAAACAGACAGATACCTGGAGGCTGTAGATCCTGTGGCAATAATAAGTGAGCCATACTTGAGCAGTTTTCCTGAATTTGTTGTCAACGTTTGCTGTTCAATATCAATGCTCTTTACTGGATCTTGATATAACATCTGCACAATAAAACAGCTTGAAATAAACCATTAAAAAAATGAAAACTGGAAAGCATCAGACCATAGTTCTTCTTCTTCCCTAGCATAAAAACCTTTCCATAACACTAGATTAAATAATCAGATTACAAGATTTTGCCATTCAATTTCAAGTAATCCTATATTCATTGCTCCACGCATGATAGAAAATGAACTTTTACTGGCATGGAAAACGAGAAAATCATCCACAACAGATAAAGTGATAGCAAGAGCAAAAACAAATACTACCTCTATCCCTTTCTCTTCATACCAATCTGGAGTCTGCCTCTCCCCACCGGATCCAACACAAGTGTGAAATCCCTATTAAAAGATTAAAGGCACAATTGTGACTTCACATTGTAACTTCTATGAAGGAGATACAACAAAGCATGAAAGGCAGCCGCTTTATACATAATAGTAATATTTGAAGTACAATAGTTCAGAACATAGTTCAATCAATATTATACTTTCAAGCCTTGCTATGACTGACGAAAATTTCCTGTAAAGAAACAATTCATAAGTTCACCATATACGCCTAAAAGAGTAAGGTCGTACAGGAAGACGCGCAGGGTTCTTATCTGGCGGGAATAGATAACCTTTTGTTAAAGCCGGACGCTCGTAAGGCGCATATGCCTGTTAGGTGAATTCAAAAAAAAAAAAAAAAACAGAAAGAGATCAAAATCACAATTCACAAGAGATGGAACTTATAGCTATAGAAATGAGCACAAAGGACCCAGTGAATATAGGAAAATGCAACGTGGGTGACCAGCCAGGTCATGTAACCTCTTTAGTCACAATACATAGACGTCCATCCGCCATGCCGTGCTCAACGAAAGTTCGAGCAGCGTATCCCGCGGCATTTCCACCCCCAACGATCACACACCTGCAGTAATTGGGAGATAATTAAAAGGGGGGAAAAAGAAAAGGAAGAGGTCAACATATTCAAAGTCAAATAGAAATGGAAGTAGAAACAGTAAAGGTGAGGAACAGACTCCCGATTCTCATTAGCGAAAGCGGCGTAGCATCTCGAGAATGTTCTGAACGGGATTGAAGAAGAATGATTAGGTCGATTGAGAGAGCCGGCTTGAGGACACCAAAGTGAGAGGCCGTGCTTAAGGGACAAGGAACTGGAAATGGCCGCCATTGTGAATCTATGAACTGTTGCTCACACACCCAGAAAATAGAAATCACGAAAAATGAGAAGTGTGAATAGAATCAAATAGGAAAGGAGCAGAACAGTGAAGAAGTAACACTGGATGGAACCTGAAGACATTGACGCTTTGTAATGGATTAAATAACCGATAAATGTCGATGATAATATTTTATAAGAGAAGGATCCTTGGCCCTAGAAGGCGTCCAAGGGACGTGATGTCAAATCCAGATTCGAGTATTAAAAAAGGGCAGTGTCTGGAGCAAGGAGTTTTAGAATTGCTATATGGACAGATGAGCTAGCGAAACTAGGCGGGTAGTTCACTGTTTGTAGCGCAATTCTCAAGTCGAAGTGATCTCTCAATGAAGAAAAAAACGAAGCCATCGCCTTTTTTCTGGTAGGTGGATGACTATGAAGCTTTCTTACGACGTCGTTTTGGACTTCTTTTATTTATAGACGTTATTATTATTATTATTATTTTACCAAAGATGCAACTATCATTAAATTAAACTTTAGCTATGTAAAATATTTTAATGAGTTTGATTTTAAAAAGAAAAAAGTATGACTGAAAATTTTTAATTGATCTTTCTTATTCTTTCTTTTTACATCTTTCTATCAAAAAAAATTTCAACCCTGCTTATCTAATTAAAAAATCGAACTTCTTAAAAGTTTTCCTTCCTTTCCCTCTTATCCATTTTCCAACCAAATTAAAAATTAATGAAGATAGAAAAATTTAATTGAAACAAAAAAAACCCTCTAAACCTACCATCATTTACCACGTCCTCTCTCAAACTTTATTTTTTAAAAAAATCAACAACTAAAACCGAGCATTGTTAATATCAGTTGATGTTCCTACGTCTATTGTTGCTAGACATTTTTAATAAACACACAGAGACAATGCAATTAATTAATATTCTTTTAACACAAATTCTTTCCAAATATACTTGACGTGATAGAACCAAATTTGAAATGTTGGCTGGGTTCACAAGCTTGCCTTTCTGCGTTCGGAATGGATTGGGACTTTATACTTCTGCAGTACACCTCAAATGGAATGGGTCTTTACAATTCTGCAAGTTCAGAATCGAATCCTCCTAAACTCACATCTATGTTGTCAATCCAACCTATTATATCAAACCGGGTTTTGGACCCAGTCACCCAGATACGATGTTACCTCGTCAAACATGAATTTTAAGCTTTGTAGGCTTTTGTGAATTTTTGGGCTTTAAATGCGCAGAAAGACTGAACTGAGAATATACGGACAAGGCACTATGCATTATGGAACGAGAAAAACGAGAACGAGAACAAGAAAGAGGCGATAAATTGCTGGGAAACAAATGAAGGCAAAGCCCAGCATGGATTTATGTTGAAGGCAGAGCCTGACTAAGCGTAGACATCAGAATAAGACACAGAAATCAGACATCTTGGACAAGCATGCAGCACACCTATCATTTACCAAATACTTAATGCCTAGGCATAAGACATCCCTTCTGAAATTTAAAAAAAAAATAAAATCTATTCCATTGTCCGTTCAAGAGGCTATGTAGTCATCCAGTGTAAATACAAGGCTTTAGTTTCTTCCTATGTTAATAATTTTACAACTTCCAGCTATTTTAGAATTAGCATACCAACTACCAAAAACTACGTATACTTTTTTTCCCTAGTAATTTTGTCAGTCTCTGAAGTTAAGCAAGAAGATTGCCACAGGGCATGCCTCAGAGCATGACGAGGATAGACCTATCCTCGATTTGGTACTCACTTCTACCCAGTTGGAGATGAAATCTTGACGTTTTTGTCGGCGGGGAGCGTACAAATGACAACGTTGTTTCTCTGCTGAAGCAGAGGAATAAATAGATCGAATTTGTTGTTCAATCAGCTGGCGTCAAGTCTTGACTTCAAGAGCACAGCATGAATTTAGATAGAGCCATGGAGGCGTACCAGAACATTAAGATCCAAAGTCACTGACTTGATATATATATATATATATATATAGCTATATACATTTTCTCCCGAGCCCAAATTTAACAACGCTGCTTGAGGAGACACCCGGCGATCAAAGCTAGGAGAGAAAAAATACAGATTCCAGAACAAGAGTGCATATCAGGCTAGGCGACAACGTTACCAGTCGCGCAACTCGGTCGGTGAAACGATGTAATGCTTCTCCACCCAAATAAAAATACCAAATTAAAAAAAAAATCCTATAACTACTTACATTGAAGGCTCAGGTAAAGAGCAATTAATTGTAACTGGAAGCCTCTTAAAAACTTTGAAACTAGCCCCAAACCTTGGAGGTCTTTTCAGTTAGGAACCCTTGAGAAGCTGCAGAGAGTGAACAGTAAAAGAAGAAGAAGAAGAAGCTGCCTTTGATCTTTACACAGTGGGCGCAGATAATTTCCCAGCCTGTTCCAAGACGTCGAGAAACTCTGATCTGCTCCTCACAACCCTATGAAATACCTCTCTGATTTGCTGCTGTAGAGGTACCAGACCTTCTTCCATCTTTCTGCAAATATCTGCTAACTCTTCCACCTGTGAATTCACCTCCTCAAGGCGTTCTGCCTCCACGGGAAACTGAAACGAATCGGTAAAATCAATCAAGGATTGACCTATCTTCTCCAACCTCTGCATCTCCTCCAATAGTCCCGCAGACCCTTTCTTCTCCTTCTTCTTCCACTCTTCTGCGATCTTCTCCTGCAACCCTATCATAGGTTGAGCCCAACCCAATTGCCTCGGCACAGGAAAATGAGTCCCCAGCCCGTTTCTCTCTTGACATGGGATAGCCGCCACCAGAGTCCACATCACAAACACAAATATCGTGCTCATTACATAGATAGGAGAGGCCAAACCAGATGACTCCGCGCCTCGCGGTGCCACCATATTGGACAACATGGCGTGGATTTGTTTGGCAGCAGACCAATTCCTCGCCATGCTGCACGATAGCGATCGGAATTGCCCCGAGACACGCTCTTTGTTCACCGGAGCGCTGCTAGCACCCCTCCTGCCAAAAGACCAGGCTCTCTCCGTCGACTTGGCAGCGCTGCCGTCCTTATCCTCCGCCGTCATCGCCGTGATCAGGGAGTGTAGCGCCTTCTTGGCGCGTCGAGCCTGGCCATCACCAATCGGCCTCTGTTCCAGAGCAGAGACGGCTATCTCGGCGAGTTTCTGAACGTTCCGCACGGACTCGACACCGAGACACAGCGCATTACAGATATCGAGAGCTTTGACAACACGGTCGAGGAGTTCGGGGACGAGACGGTCGAGAGGAGGCTTGGAGATATGCGAAGGGTCACGGCCCATTATGAGAACGGCCTTGAATTCGGCTTCGCAGCAGAGAAACGTGTCGAGGAGCTTCCGGAGCCAGCTGATGGAGAGGAGGGCATCGGCGGTGGAATCTTCGGACGGTGGCGAAAAGAGATCGGCGAATCGGTCACTAACGTGCTTCTGGAAAAGCTCGAGGTCCTCTACTTCCTGGTCATGGCTGCCTTCCATAGCCATCACCTGATTCCGACGGATACTTATTCGGCCCAGAAAAGAGCCTTGATAATCTGTGGCAGGCATTTTGTTTTGCTTTCTTCCTCCCCTTCTTGGATCAACTCACAGAGAGAGAGAGAGAGACAGAGAGAGAGAGAGAGATGAGAGAGGGGAAAAAGGGAATGAAGCAATCAGAGAAGGAAGTGAAAAAGAAGTAGAGGAAGCAAATTCGTCGGAGGCATTGTAAGGGAACGCGTAGTTTTGTGACTGACTCAGCCCACACCCTGAGACGTAGAATCTCAGAGGCTCAGAGGCAAAAGCGACAGAAAAACATGTCCAAGTTCCTCTGACCAGCTCAAACACCTCCGCTTGTTCATTTTGATTCCCTCCTGCGCGCCCGCACGATGCTCCATACACCCTCCCCTCTCCTTCTTTTTTGACTTTTTGCTCTCTGTGCTGGCACCTCCACCTCCTCAAATATCCCCTACTTTTTTTCCGTTGTGCCCCCCCCCCAATTATTTCTATTCCCTTTTCTATCCTTTCTTATCCACCCAAATAAGCAGATGAAGAAAAGAAATACTCGCGTGACGCGCTATTAAATGAATAGATTAAAGAGAGATTCAAGGGGATAGGGTCAGGAAGGTCGTTGATTTGGAAGTTGAGGTCGTTTTGGTAGTTTGTATTTCTTGGTAAAAGATAAAGGAACACGATTATATCTTTATTTAGATTAGCCATATGGCCATGATGGCGTTGATTGTGGCACTAAAGGGGGCTTGGAAAAAGAGTTCGTGGTGGTGTTGTTGTTGTTGTTGTTGTTGTTGTTGTTGTTGTTGTTGTTGTTGTGTGTGAGAGAGTGAGAATTTGTGTTCCGGAATGATTCACTTGTTAGAGACAATCAGACAAAGAATCTAACCATGATGAAGCAACATGAAGAGACGACAATGGATGAGGGTCCAAAGGTAAATTTGAAACTTTGGGCACCGACCTTCACCTTCCGCCACACGGTTAATTATTTGCTTTTTGTAGCCAAAAGTGACAAAAGTAATATAATAATACTGCTATAATAAGCTAGACAAACAGTAAGGGAGAATGATAAATAAAAATTTTGTAAAAATATTAATATTAAATTAATTTTTTTAATACTGATGTTTTGAGATTTTAATACTTATTTTATTATATTTTAATACTAAAATTTTTAATTTAATATTAATATTTTTGTAAGATGCTTACTTATCAATTTCTCAAATAGTAACGCGTTGACATTTGGAGCGGATGGATTTACTTTTACTCGTATTTTTTCCTCTTCCAAGCTTCAATTCCAGCTGGTTTGCGATGGGGCAGCATTTGTCTTGTTCCGAAGACATTATTTCAACTTTCAAAAGTGAACCTTGTTGATTGAGGCTGAATTTTAAAATGCAATTTAAATGCTCGATTTAATTACATTCTGGTTGATTGAAAAATAATCTGTGATCTGTTATGTATCTAGAAATTTCAAATCTATGATTTTAGCATATTTAATCTCCAAAATTTATACAGTAAATAAAAGCTACTAATCGCCAAATATCGGGTGGTTTGCGCTGCTGACAGAAATGTTGTTTTAACTTGATCAATGAATAAAATGCTGTATTTCAAGATAAATTGAAATATTTTGATGAAAATGATAGTCCCATCTCATTTGTGTACGCGCTGAAATTAAAATGTGTTGTCTTTAATGAAGAAGGCAAACAGAAATGAAAAACGCTTGGATTCTTGGGGATATATATCGACAAGAGGTCCTTTCAATAGTGATCGAGTCTATTACACGTATTGGTTGAGAAATATTTAAAACAAAAAGTGGAGTGTAGCGTCGAAAACCCAAAAAACCAAACTAATAAATGAAACAGAGACAAGGAAGGAGCAACATGTATGGCGCCAATAAAAATCTGGAAAGGAAGAAGAGGAGGGAGGGACAAGCTGTCTGCTGAGCATTGTCGTGTGGTAGGAGATGAAGATGAATTTCGAGAAATGGGGTCCTACTGCATCCAAACGCGGTTTTTAGGGACCAATAATCTACCCTTTTTGATTTTTCCACAACACTCCTTTTTCATACGCTGCACTCATAGTAATACTAGTGATCAGTACTTGTGGACTTGCCATCAGAGTTTGAGTACCAGTAAATTAGTAAATGGCATGGCGCTTAATGCTCTCAAAAGCTGGTCAATTTCGTAGAAGGATCGGTGAGGTCAAGCAAAGATTCGCCGGCAAGATTATTAGTGATCAGTGGCTGTAATGCTAGAATTAGATTAGTATTGTATTGTGGTTCTGCATCTCTAATTGGTCGGGATTTGGATCCTAACTGTCATAACCACCATTTGCCAATTGTCGCTTTTTTTCTCCCTCCCTCCCTCTCATTATTGCCTCTTTTGCTTGTTTGTGTGGTCCGCATATTTCTCCCCATAAGTCGCCTCCATAATTTCTAATGTTTGATTAATACATAAGTACAAAATTATATGATTTTGGTCCAAAAAAGGAAACCAAAAAAAAAAAAATCAACTATGCCACATGACTCTTTCACATGTCAAACATTAACTTGATCTATCGTTAGACTCGCAGTTTGAGCTTGCAACTTCACACATTTAAAATTTAGTATGTTTCTATTAGACAGATGATATTTTATATTTTAATTTTTTATCATTATTTTAAGCCAGAGATGATGACTTAAGTCACGTAGTGACAAAGACACCACCATACAACCCTCAGAACACCATACAACTCTCAGGAAAATAAGTTTTTTCTTCATAATAAGTTAATGTTGAAGTACTTTTTCTATTGAAAAATAAAGCTTTCACCTGATATTCTACAGTTTTTTCATTATGGTATGATGCATGATCTCTGGCTGAACTAGTGTCTGAGTCCTAGAGGTTATTATTAAAGTGTTGTAACATGACTTTTTTTTGGGGGGGTCAAATTAAAGACTATTTAAATATATTAATTTTCGTTGTGCATGAGCCTCCATGAAATTACAAAAGACATGCATTTTTCACCCAAATTTTTTTCACGAAAGACAACAATTTCCAATACCTCTCTTCCCAACAGAATTTAAGCTTTTTAAGGATACCTAAAAGTATGGCAGTGGTACTGCTTTTGATAACCAGGTTTCTTTGAAAAATCTTTTATCCACTTGTAGTACGTACTTGTCACTAATCACGCCTCCATAATATATATATATATATATATATAACTAAGTGGGCAAAACCTCTATGGCTGACATAACTGTCGATATCAAATTTGACCCAACATATTTAAGATGACATCCATCTTGAGTGCATCTCTTCAATTCAACGTGATAATATATTCATCCCGTGGCTTCAAGTTTGAGATCATCTATGACTCTTTTGGGTGTAAAAGAAAACAATATCCCCTCAAGTATATCATCTTCGTATATAATAAAGATAGCATCATCTAGATTTCCATAAGGACCGCCGGACTGGCAAACATGCGTACAAAGAGCTTTTTCTAAGTAACGATCTACCTACTTCAATACTCCAGAAAGGGAGAGAAAATATTAGTCTGGACACCTTGATTAATTTTAACCAAATCTCTTTGGCTCTAATGCTGCTAATCAGAAACCAAGTGAAGAGAGGAGTCAAAAAACTTGTAGCCTAAAGGACACACTCTTTTTGGCTCATACCGGCTTTAATTCTGATAACTTCGGGTTGGAGGCGGTCTCAAAAGCAGCTTCAAAAGAAAATTTTAAATTTTTGTCATAAGCCCTCTCCGATCGACTCTCCAACCAATGTTCTCTCTGAAATTCTCCCAGATACTGCAGATGCTAGCCCCTGCGTAAGAAGCAGATGTTGGTCTGTAAATCTTAAGTAGTATATACGATCGGGTTGGCATTTATATTTATTGTGCATGATTCTCACCCTAAGTTTATTGGGATTCATCATGATTACCTCACATCAGATTAGTTTCACAATGCAGTTAATATTTTGAGCTTTTTCACTCCAAGACCTCTGTCCTTTTGTCTTGTGTAACCCGATCCCGTTACAAGCCAAGCAGCGAGTTTTTTTTTTTTTTTTAAATTTTTTTTTACATTCATTTGAAAAATTCCAGAGAAATTAAAGTTTTTGCTTTTATTTTCCTGATATATCGTCGAGCACATTATTGGATAAGAGCTCATTGGTCGCATGGCATAACTTAGAAGAGATGAAAGCACCGACTTTATATTAATTTTTTATTTTGACTAGGATGTGTGATACTGTAATGCATCTAGCTGCTACAATTGATCTATTCAGTTTATCGTTTACAAATATTATCCTGCACATTGCCTGCGAGACCAATCTTCTTGGGCCACTTTTGATTAAGAGTTTCTTAATTTGGGCCTTCAGTGTTATATTTCACCTTCAGGTGCCCATGGATTCTCCTTACATATTTTGCATGTTTGGATAACGACACTTCATGACTACAAATTAAGAAAGATATCCACACTAAAATCTTACAAATTATATTCAAAGAGTTCTCCAGTAATCATTCATTAGCTGTAACTATCAATAATATCAAAAAATTTATTATGAAAAATTAGACAGTCGCTTTTGACCATATTTTTAAAGAAGCTGATAAATGTGTAAATTAAGTGGCTCATCAAGCTTTTATCGATAATTTAAATGTTTAAATTTTTGATAATTCACCTTTTAATTATATGAATTTTTTATACACTGATATGATTTAAATTGTTTGTCTGCATGAATTAATCCTGTAGCCTTCTATTAAAAAATCAAACAAATTGAAAAAAGCTAGAGAAGGACCTTGGTCTTTAGCTGATCCCAAAATAATTAGTACGTATGGATCGAAATGCCTCTGACAAAAATTGGACGTTAATAAACTCTAGTCGTCATCATATGTATGCCATTATGGAAGTTCGAATTTAACTTCATTACCTTGACTTCCTTCAATAGTGTTTCGTAATATACTGTCAGGTAATAACTTTATCAAACAGTATTTGAGAGTTAAAACTATAATTAGGTTAGAAATCTCTGTTGGATATTATTTTATTAGAGATAATTTTATTCAAAGTACTGTTACGGATATTAAATGTGAGTTTTTCTATTTTTAACAAAAATTTAAATACTGACTTATCACACAATGAAAGACTTGCTTCTTACTAGGCCTAATTCCTGGTAGTGAGAAGATTCAGTGCGCGCTCGCGCGTCCACCTGATCAGAAAAAAATAAAGGAAATCATATAGGACCCATCTAGCTAGAGATCAATGGTTGGGAATGAGCAGCTAAGTACTACATAATAGTGAATATGATATGTATTATTATTATTATTATTATTATATAAATAGAACAGCGTGATTAATGATGAGAAATGAGAGAGAGAGAGAGAGAGAGAGAGAGAGAGAGAGAAAAGCATTAATTGAGGGAGAAACATGCGGACCACATCCAAGTAAAAGAGGCAATAATGGTAGAGACATTTCATCCACGACTCAATAACTTAACCAACCAGGCACAGTCCTTAATTAAAAGATTGTTTTTTTAATTTCTCTCGCAAATAATCACCAGTTGAAAAAAAAAATAAAATCAAACTGGTAGGGCCAAACGCCACTCCATTGCTCCTCCTTAAAGCTATGTATAATCAATTCATCCCAAAAGTGTCTCTTTAATAAATCATTTGTATATTACTTTCAAAGTTTTAGCTTGCGATTCATACAAGCAAACGTCACTTTCTCCTCTTCACATCAATAATGGTGGTTCATTCGCACCCATCAATTCCATTCACTACCCTCTCATCTAACTATATAACGTATATCTATGTACAAGCCCCTTCAAACATATGCCCTTATAACAGAGCTAGCCAGTGTTACTTATATTCTTTAACTAATCAACACGAGCCACCCACCCACAAGCTGCGTTGTTTTTTCTTGAATTAGTAAACTCATAATTGTGTATACACAAGTTTCCACACTTGTTATTATACCTTCCTTTCCAATCATTGTCCCGAGACAAGGATCCGAAAACCATCTTGTGATTCACTGATCTGTATGCGATCTCGATGACGATATTGAGATCGAGCATTTCAGAAATTCATTGCATGGTTTGCTTTAAGAGCCAATGTCATTGTGTAATAGCAACATGATCTCACCTTCATAACTAATGGAGCTTTTCCGTGTTCGCATCATTATGTTGATACACGATAGAACGACGCTTTAAGCCAAGGCCGACCCTGCATCTCTCCTCCCAACTCCGAGATTAATTATATTACTTGTATCTGTTATCTTAAGTATATTAACCAATTGAAACAACTTTTTGCTAGTTATTATTCAGAGTAGTAATACCCCTTCTCGATCGCTCAATAATTCAAATATACTGAGCTTAATCAAATGCTGTTTTATTTAAACTGTTACGTTTGAGGGATTCCCAGTTAATAAAAAAGAATTAAAAGTTGAAAAGAAAATATATAGGAAAACCACCCTGTACCTTTTGAGGCGTTGTGAGTGTTTTAGGATATATGAAGTGATATTAAGTGGTCCAGGGAAGAAACTTATACATCTAATCATACCACTAATCATCTAAATCACAGTCTAATTGATTCATCCCCAATTCCACTTTTAAGTCACCTAGCTATATATAGTGTTGTCGAGAGCAAGTTGACATTAATGTTGCCAGAGATCATTAGTGATCAGCATTTTTAGAAGGATATGTATAATTATAAGTCTCCAAACTTAATTTGTGAAATCTATTTGCTGATATATACAGGTCTTTATAAAGGGCTATTATCTTTAGTTGTCGTCAATCATGCTACTTATACACGTTATACCAAGAAAATTAAACCAGTGGAATTATTATTCCTTCTTTATCAATTAACCGGAGACACGATTAAGTCAAAATAGTTGATAGGTTGTGCTTGCTTGAATCATAAAGCAACAGACAATTTTTTTTTCTGACTTTCTCACACGTGTATTTTTTAAAGGATTCTCTTGCAAGCCATGAAATGAAGAACCGAAGAACTAAAAACGACAATTAAGTGATGAAATACGTTATGCCACCGTCAGCCTGTTATTTCCTAGTAATCATATAACGCAGAATTGTAGATCATGATGTCATGTCTTGTTTAAACAAAGATATTATAAGTGAACATGAATGAAATCTAGATTATTTATATATTTCACTGTCACTAGGTGTATATCCTAATAATAACACTGAATGTATCTTGATTATGAAGCTTCATATATATCGATATACATGTCTTGTCTACCCAGAAAGACGAAGAAAATTAAAACCCTTTGATGGATTCCCCAGTATACCAACATCCATGATAACAATGTTTTCAAAGTTATGCTTCGATGTCAATCGGTAGATTATACGACGAAAGACGTAATATTTATTAAATTACTGAAGAAGTGAAAATTGTATGATGACCAAGTGAATTTTATATGATCAGTTATTTGATAAATCAAAGATAAATGATCGATGACCAGTTCAATCAATAAAAATCAAAAGAAAAAGAAAAGACTATTATTGGAGAGAATGAAGTGTTTCTTCATTACTGGGTTTGGAAGCCGAACAGCTTTGCACGACGATCATGGATGTATTTGCTTGAAAATTGAAATGGAAACTCCGTAATCCTATCAAACAAATTCTCTCTGCTGTTAGTCATTAAATAATCACAAGTTTTATTCCGCGACGTAAAAGAAAATCTGTGTATTATCGATGATTGCACCAACCCTCCACAGGAAGCTGCCAAAATTTACGGAGGCGACAATTATGTTACATCACATGTGTTGTTTTTGCTGTTGCTACAGTATAATTAAGTACTGACTTAATTGGGATAATTCCCAAATTGTGCCCATCACTTTCGCCAAAGTGGCCAATATCCACTTGCCCTGTGATCATAGGCTATACACACGACGTTGCTGAATAGTTGCAGAGAGAGAGGAGAAAGTATATGAAACAACCGGCAAATTAATTTCTCTCGCACACCTATAATCAAATTAATTAACCTAGCTAGTATATTCCTTTTCGGCCTCTTCTCTCATCAGTGAATCGAGGTGTTTGGTTACGTAATACCACGCATGTACGTAGAAAACGGTAACGCGAGCCACTAGGATATGAGAATAAAGTTGATGGAACGTCATTTTAGGGTTAGATGAAGATCTGGGTCCCTTATATGGACCCCATCAGGCTGTAAATGTCGGCTCGAGCTCTTCTTGTACTTGCCCTCAGTTTTTAAAGGAGGCGCAGAGAGAGACCTAACTATTGCATTCACCTCTCTGGCCAACAACGATTAATATTCCCACTTCCTACACATCCAGGCAATATAAGGGAAGCTAGTTATAGCTAGTGATCGAGAAGGCGAACAATAAGAGACTCATAGAGAGAAGAGCACAGAGAAACATATAGGGGAAAATGGGTCACCACTCTTGCTGCAATCAACAAAAGGTTAAGAGAGGGCTTTGGTCTCCTGAGGAAGATGAGAAACTCATCAGATACATTACCACACATGGCTATGGCTGCTGGAGTGAAGTCCCTGAGAAAGCTGGTCATCATCTAGCTATATTTGTCCTTTACTCTTTCTCTTCTTAATATTATTGACCAAGTTAAACAGTCAAGCACGTACGGACAAAATGTCTAAATTAAATCTGTGTGTGGCTTTCAGGTCTGCAACGGTGCGGCAAGAGTTGTCGCCTGAGATGGATTAATTATTTGAGGCCTGATATTAGAAGAGGCAGATTCACTCCAGAAGAGGAGAAGTTAATTATAAGCCTTCATGGCGTCGTAGGCAACAGGTTTGAATCACTCTCCCTCTCCCTCTCCCTCTCATCTCTCTAATATTCTTGTATGTGTAAAACCTATTCCATTAGTGTCTTATTAGTTAATACTATCTCCTGTAATTATATACATTTACCTTAATGTGGCTATGCCTGGAATGTTTCTGGATCAGATTCTACCTCTGCATTTCTTCCTGCTCAAATTAATTTCCCGCCGCTGATTAACAATTCAACATACGTGTGAGTTTCAGTAAATCGTTTAATCATCATTTTGTAACTAGCTGAGAGTTTTATACTTTGAAATTAATTGCCCATGCATGTGGTTTAATTTGTTCGAATGTTTGTAACACAAAAGGGCCTCTATTCTAACGGGATATAGAGCAATTTAAGGAAGCTGTTTTTTTTTTTTTTTTTTGCTATGGTCTCTCAGCTACAGTTAAAGAGAAGTTAAGAAGGCAATTTCGTCAGTTCAAATTGACTTGTCCACTTGAACTGAATGCGCAGATAATATTGATTTAGTGCATCTATACTAACTCTCCGCATTTCATCTTCGTAACATTCTTATAATTAATTCCTTTTATTTGATGCTTCTTAAAGCAACTAAAGTATTATTATGATTTTTTTCTTTTTTTTGCATCACAAGGATCTTGCCACGGTTTTGCTGACACAAATGCTTCCAAATTACGACTAAATGAAAATTGTAAATATATTCGTAAAGACACATTAACTCTTCTAGGCAAATCTTATCTTTCTATTTATATATATGAGAATGGTTGATATAAATTTGGGATCAATGCAGGTGGGCTCACATTGCAAGCCACTTGCCTGGAAGAACTGACAACGAGATAAAGAACTATTGGAATTCGTGGATCAAAAAGAAAATAAGAAAGCCTTCGGTGTCTTCAACCGCCACTGCACAAAGCAGCGTGGATCACCATCAGCATCCACAATATAACTTTAATAATCCCAGCCAATTAGACTTTGCAAACCAAGATAATCTAACCGCAAAGCCCCAACCAGTTCAAGACACTATATTTTCCTCCACATGCCCCTTATTTATGTTTGACATTAGCTCTTTAGATAGTTCTGCAACAACGATGACGACAGTACTGGACAACAACAATAATAATGCAAGACCAGAAATGTTAATCCACCAGCAAGATGCTGGCATGGGTTTAAGCACAGAAACATGGAATCTGAGCCACCATCAAATTCAAGCCTTTCCTCCTCCATCGTCAGCAGCTTTCACTGCAGCTTCAGGAATGATCGCTTCCAATTATCTGCCACCATTGATAGAGAACGTGGACAATATGATGCAGAATATTCATGAAGTGCAATCTTGCAGCATGGACGACGGAGAGATGGCACTAGAGTGCTTGCAGAGGCATGAGTTGAACGAGTGGGTGGACACGCAGCAACACTGTCCTAACTTTATTTTCTGGGAAAATGTGGAAGGACAGCTTGGTGGGGAAGACATGGCACCGAATTCTTCAAACTTGGGGACAGCTACACTTTCTTCTTTTCCTTCGTCCTTATGATTATGAAGATGAGGACTGTTTCTCTAACTAGGAGGGTTCTGAATCTGAATGTGCAGAAGAGAAGGATTGCTTTCTTTTTCTTAAATTTCTTTGGATTTGTTGTTTTCTTTTCCACTTTGGAATTCTGATTCGAGAGATTGTGAAAATTGATGAGTGCTTAAGTAACAAGTTATATATACATATATGACAATGCCATGCGAGCAGTAGTGTTTATGGGTGTTTGTACATGGGAGAGGGGATCAATAAAGGCGACTGCAACAAGCAGCGACGTTTGGTTTTTGAAGACAGAAGAAACACATGCATCCTTCTATATATATATATATATATATATAATCTTAATTATTACTACTTTCTGGATATGTGGTGGTTTTGAATGGTAACAATGGGTAAAAATACCCTCATCCTCTAAGCATATGATCACCATACCTGTGCTAACAATAGCACGAACGATTAGGAGATATTCCAACAATTGAATTCATCCTGTTAATGTAGATGACTTTAAAATCAATGACCAGAAAGTGTTAAGATCATGATATATAAATATGAGACAAAAAAATAATTAACATATTGGTACCAAATAAGAAAAATAATTAGATATAACACTATATTTATCGAGGTATTTGAGGACCAAAATTAGAAGCAAGAGTTATTTATCATCCAACCCTATATTTCTTTTTATTACCTACAAATATCCTCCAATTAAAAGCAATTATATTCGAGACATGGTGAGCCTTACATATTAGAATAGCCTTCATGTGCCTAAACATAAAACTAAATAAATGAGGTGCCTTCCCACTTTAAACACTAACGAAATGGTAGAATAAAAAAAGTCTCTCTTAAAATTTTTACTAATATATCTTTAATCCGCATAAGAGAAAGGAAATTTTGGATTTTTTTTATTTTTCACCTGATCCCCATAGCAAGTGATATTCTTCCAAAAAAGAAGAAACAAAATACTGTCTGGCGTAAGACGAAGTTCTGAAATAAACCTTACTTTGATTGAACATTGCCTCTTCTATATGACTATATCTTTGATATTTAAGTTGATAAAATCGATCTTTTGGAATGATTTCTGAAGTTGTTCAGTTCCATTGTTTTCTTTTTTGTGTCATGCACTAGTTCAAAAGAAGAGACGTCCCAAAGGTTGACAACACAGAAACGACGACTGTCCATTTGATATTGTCATGTGCCTACATTCACACCTATACGTAAATGATAGAAGTTTTTTTACATTTGATATAGCAGAAGGAGATGAACAACACTGAAAAACTAAACGTAAATGAATGGTAAAACGTTTTCTTTTTTTTTTTTTTTCGAGACTAGAAAATGCATTCATAAACTAAAAACAATGTAAAACGTTTTATATACTTCAAGCAAGCTTTCTAGTTCTTTGTTCTTTAGTCTATGTAATATCCTTGGTTGTTTTTTTTTTCCCTCAGCGTTGGGGAAAAATGTTTTCTAGTCTGCCTCTGCTAGTTGATTCCCGCAACTTTTTTCAAAAAAATATGAGGCTTATTTGACAACCTGCGACACTTTTCTGCTTAAAAAAAAAGTTAACAAAATTGTTTTATAACGTATTTTTAAAAAATAAAAAAATTTAAATATTATTTTAGAGATAAAAAATGAAATTATCTTTTAAGTATTTTAAGATTATTATTTTTAAGAATAAGAGAGAATGTGATAAATACATGTTTTTATTATTTTTTATTTTCAAAACATATTTTAAAAAACGTCAATTTTTATTGGTACATGAAAGTTAGTTAAAAACACCTTATATATAAAGATGGAGTGATGGAGTATTATGTTAGTTCCCAATTAAATGACTGCCCTGTTATAATCCTTTTTTTTCCTTTGATTGCCCAAGATATCGTTAGAACCAACAGTTATGAGATTTATCCCCTAAAAAATCTGAGCACTATTTAAAAGATTGTTCTCTCCTAAATAATATTTTTCCATACATACCTAAGGAATTGAAGCTTAGAATAATGCTTAATATTGAAAAGGAAAACACAATCATTAATTTTTATAATTTTATTGGGTTCTATTTTTAATCCCTATAATTTTTTTAATATTTTCAATCCTTATAGTTTTTTTTTGGGCCAATGTCCCTATAGTTACTAAAGTTCTTATAAATTAAATATTTTCAATTCTAAAATGCTGAAAAAAATAAAAAATAAAAATAAAATTATAAGGATTAATGATTATATTTTTTTTCCTTAAAAAATATGAACTTTGTTTTATGTTTTTTTCTCCATCCAGCGAACATTGTTTTTTTTTTTTTGGCCCGACGCCAATAAACTTTATTCTTGTTTTTTAAGGGCGTTTTATGTTTTTGGGCCTAAGAGCTTTTTTGTAGCTTGGAAATTCCATATTACTTTGTTTTGCTCCAGAAAGGCCGATAATGAAACCCAGCTTCCTAAAGCCCAACCAAAAAGATTTGTGAAAAGAGGGGAAAACATGTTATAAAAACATGAGGAAGTCGGATTAGGGTTTACTCATTTCTGGGCGAAGGGATAAAGCAGGCGAGAAGAGTACTCACAGGGTCTTGTGTTGCTGCCGCCTCCGCCTACTCTTCCACCTCGCAACCATGGTGTGCTGTCTTTCTTGTTCTCCTTTCCAATTCTTCGAGAGAAAAAATGTCTGTCTAAACAGTGAAATTTGATTGTTTGTTAATTCGGTCTTAGTTGTTACTTTTTTTTTTCTTTTTTTCCTTTTCCAGATTATTCCTGAGAAGAACCGTCGTGAGATCTGCAAATACCTCTTCAAAGGTTCTGTATCTCTCCCTGGTCGATTTTCTATATGAATTCTTTCATATCGAATCATACTTTTTCATGTAATTTTTGTTTGTGTTTCCTTCAGAGGGAGTTTGCTATGCAAAGAAGGACTTCAATATGCCTAAGCACCCCGAGATTGACGTGCCGAATCTGCAAGTCATTAAACTGATGCAGAGCTTTAAGTCCAAGGAGTACGTGCGTGAGACATTTGCTTGGATGCACTACTACTGGTACCTCACTAACGATGGCATTGAGTTCCTTAGAACTTACCTCAATCTTCCTTCCGAAATCGTGCCTGCTACTTTGAAGAAACAAGCTAAACCAGTTGGTAGACCATTTGGTGGCCCCCCTGGTGATCGTCCAAGGTAGGTTACATTTGTCTAAGAGTGCAATTTGATTCTTTCCTCTAATCGGGCTGGAATTTAGGATGTATTCAGTCACTTGTCTAAGCATGCCAATGCCATACAATTTCGGTTTTCCTTGTTTTTATTTAATTGTAATATAATGCATCTCTTTTGGGATCGGAAATGAATGTTGCTGATCTGTTTGCACCATTATCGATATGTATGATTTTGAACAGGGGCCCACCTCGTTTTGAAGGAGAACGTAGGTTTGGTGATCGTGATGGATACCGTGGAGGTCCCCGAGGACCTGGTGGCGACTTTGGAGACAAGGGTGGAGCTCCTGCTGACTACAGGCCTTCATTTGGGGTAATGTTACTGCTATTACAACACTAAAATTTGTTATGGAAATCATGTTTAATGTTACTGCAGTGACAACACTATAATTTATGGAAATCATGTTTCTTAATTTCGCTACATAAATATGCGGCAATTTGGGTCACCCCTTAATATTGGCCGTGAGTCATTCAATATGAGTGTGATCAGGGATACCTGATGTCTTATTTATGCTTGAGCATGCGGAGATTTATAGTATACATGTTTCGATTTCTTATTAAAATAATTCCGTCATCGAAGTCTATGCTCAAAGTGTAGCGTTTGCAACTGGCTATAAGTTTTGGTCATCCCTTTTCCCACACCTACACCCATCCATATACACTCACTCATATATATCTTTCATGTGAATCTCATCTCTGTTTGATCTGGCACATTTTCTTGGTTATTGTAGCGATAATCTTAATTTATATAAAACCATTTAGGGATATGGGTCCCATGGAACTACGTATATCTAGTTAATGGCTTGACTGTCTACAAATGTTTTCAAGAGATAACTGTTTAATTATGAGTAAAGAAATTTTAGCCGAGAGTGAAATTTGTAAATCTGGATCAATTTCAATGTGGAGTAGAAAATTTGGGCATTCCTTTCATAAATTTGTAAACCTTCACGATTATGTGTAAACATTTGTAGAACATTCTGCTAGTTGACGGTTCCTATGTTATGATATTTTCTTGAAATATCCTGAGCCATTTATTCATTTGAATCTTTCTGCAGGGTTCTGGAGGAAGGTCTGGATTTGGTCGCGGTGCTGGTGGCTTTGGAGCACCAACAAACTCAAATCTTTCTTAAGTGTAGTGATTTTTGTTTACCGTTTTTGCAGTTAAATGTCAAGACAAATATGTATGTCGTTTTAGTCAAGGCACTACACTAGATACCCCTCCATTCCTTTTCATCTTTATATTTAGCGGTGCAATGAAGTTTTTGGATTTTGAGTGTTTTTGATAAACGGTCTGCGTGTCTGTGATTCAAGTATCAATCTGCTCCGGTTCAGTTTATTCCTCTTGAAAGAACTGAGGTCCACTAGGCATTACTTGAAATGGAGAACCAAATGCATGAGGAGAACGCTGGGAATATTGAACACTAGGTTAATAGATTGGATATAAAATTAGTAGATTATAAATATGTCGTGTGAAATTAGCAAATTTTTCAATCTTTTCCAGGAGCTTCAACGTTCAGAGCAACGGCAGAGGGCAGGATCCTAAAGTTCCCAAGGGATCCTCATCAAACTGAAGAGGGCAAAATTAGAAACATAATGTTGGCAGAGAGTTGGAGAGACCCAACTGCCCAAATAGAAACCCATCAACCAGAGCTAAAATTTCATTCTGGACATGGGATTAGAAGCAACGTCTTGAATCCGGTGGAAGCAGTGATCAGCAAGGGAAGCCCCTGTCCCAACCTATCGTTGAACCCCAATTTAAGTGCAATGCCCCCAGATTGGCTTCCCAAAAGAGTCCCTAAGCACAGTGCCAATGGCATTCGCACAATCAGAGTCAGTTTTAATCACCTTATCGTTTGGCAAGCGGTAGAGATGGATTAACAGCAGAAGCAATACCCAATTCTGGCTTTAACCACTTGATAGCCATCCAGAATTTGATAATAGCCAACTCAGCATTCTGAACATCATTATTGGGCTCCCATCCAACATTGTTCATACATGCAATTTGCACTGTGCCTTCTAAATTTGCCATCGAATCATTGCAATCTTTTCTTTACTGAAATAATCTGTTTCCGCTCGGTAAAAACCATCAATAACGAAGAATCCAACCTCCTTTTAGCAACATCAGCTCTTTTAAAAGAGGGAGAGCAGTCAAACATACCCACTCACAAGGCGATGTAATTGCATTGGTGTTACTACTAGAATTTAGAAATATTTGTCGAGAGCATCTTTTCGGTTTTACTGAACTATAGGCAAGTAACTTGATTTGCATCATAAGAAGGAGAAACGAAGCAGACCTTGTGTAGCTGTAGCCTGAAGATCTTGATGTCACTGTTAAGTCCTTATACCTTATTTGGAACAATGGAAGTGGTTTTGATGAAAATGAAAAATGAAGATAGGTATGAGGTTTAAAAATAGGGAGAATGACAAGTAAGCACCTTGTACATTAATGTCAAATTAAAAATTTTAATATTAAAACATGATAGAAGGAGTATTGAAATTTGAGAATGTCAATGTTAAAAAATTTTAGTTTGACATTAATGTTTTTATAATGATAAAATGCATGATCAATCTCTTTCTTATATCCCTCCTTATTTTCTTTTACATGAAATCTGTGGGTCAACAATCGAAAGGGATCATCCATGTGATGAGACTACCTAAGACCTTAATCATATCGTGAGGGGCTACCAGATTAAGATTATCTTACTCACTTATGAACATAGTTTTCTCAAATCACACACTATGGGGTGTCATACCCAAGACTAGCTCTACCCAAAATTTCAGATAGACTAGTAGGGTTAAATCCCTTAATAGAAACAATGCTACAATACCCTACAAGGTAAGTAGCGGTTATAACCCCTAGAATTAACAGTTAATAGCCAAGTATCAAATGAATTTTATACAACTACTAGCTCCTTCACAAAGGTGAACTCCCGCCATATAATCATGCTTATGAGAAAATGCATTTCACTAACTCTTATGTGTAATTCACAATTACCAACATGTTCCTCAATTTTTATGCTCAACAAGTATCAAGAATTATCATATCTCAATCATGCCTCATGTATTAATTTTCATGTTACCACATAAATCACATTAACATTATATGAAAACTCAACATGCTCATACACAATTCATCACCATGTATAATCCATAATTCATAATTAAGAGCATGCACATCATCATCAACCCTCAGTCTCATTATTCAAATCATGTCATATTATCTCATGAAAGCATAAACTAATATTAATATTCGACATTACAAGCAATCTTTCATATTCATTTCTTTACATGTGCCACAATTAACTTTGTCACAACTATAGTATCTCAATAAAGCTACATATGTATTACAAACAACAATTTCAAAATTTGAATATATATATATATATATATATTTGTCTCACAAACACAAACAATTAATTAACACACAAATACATAAAACAGATTTCTCCCCGTTACCTCAACTTTAAGATATCAAAAGTTACCTCCCAAGTTACAACACTTTCAAAGCTTGAATGGTGCTAAAAGAAAATTAATCTACATTTAATCATATTCTAATGTGTCAATAACATTATTAACACAAGTTTCACTCATATTCCAACACTTACTTATTTATTTTATTTTATTTCATTTTTTAAAACATTAGTCTTAACTTTTTGGGTTTAAAATTTAATTTTATATATTTGAACCTATCTATTTGGTCCAATAGTTTCCTTCACAATAATTTCATTAAAGTTTGGCTAAAATCATCATCCAAATAATTTTTTAATATTAAAATTTTTCCTTTTTATTCCAAACATACACACCTAAAAATTGCCAACTAAGTCTTAAGTCTAAGATCATTATTCTATGGTCATAATAATCTAATTTTTATCCTAAATAATCATTTAAACATCAATAAATTAATTTATATCTTTAGATTTAACTAAAAATTTACTCAAAGAGTTCTAGGGTTTAACCCAAAAGTTTCAAATTCTATTAATAAAATAATACTGTAAAATATTTATTATACTACCGACAATCTTAATAATCAAATTTTTCATCAAATATTCATCCGTCTTTCAAATCCTAAATCTTTCATAATCATTAAATCTAAAACTCAAAAGAAAATATAATTAAAAAAATATTTAAAATATTTACCTAATTTTAGAACACGTAAAATTTTATCTGAAATATTCTATTATAAAGCTCTACTTTTTAAACTAGCAGCCATCGGTGACTCGCACACCTATGTTTCCGCTCTCTCTATCGCGGATGAAGAGAAATGAGGGAAGGGAAGAGAAAATGAGATGAGAAGGGTGGGTGTGTTGTTTTTTTTTTTTTTTTAAAGGTGCGGATCCCACGTACAATTTTGTTTTCTCCCTATTCCTTAAATCAAGTACTCCCACGCACGGAGTTAGCAAATCTGTTCTCTCTCTCTCTCTCTCTGTTTCTTTCTTTCTTTCTTTCTTTCTTTTTTTTTTTATGTTTTATATATACGTACACACAGTCCATTTCCCATCTACTTTTCTTCTTCTTCTTCTTTTCTTTTCTTTTATGTAAAAATAATTTTTATTTTTTAAAAAATTATAACTTAAAATTTAGATTTATTTTAAATTAAATCCAACAATAATGTTCAGTTAAAATTATTTATTTTTAAATATTCTTTCAAAATTATTCCTTTTTCCTAAACTAACTTAATTAATTTTGAATTAAATTTTTGGAATGTTAAAGATTAGGACTCCCAAATACATTGTTCATCATCGTTGTGTTTGGTTGTGACGATCACCTTCTCGGCTACAAGATAATCAGAGTAAAAACCAACACCAAATTGGCCAATCATGCTCACATCCGTCCCGGCCTATGGTGCCTCCATAAATTCTTTAGTCCCAGATCTCGCAATAGTCCCTAGATTATTCACTAAATCTAGCGCACAATATAGCAGACGAATAAGTGATTAAGCTTATTAAAGGTGATGACCATGAGAAAAAAAAAATGAAAGAAAGGAAGGAAGGAAAAAAAATAAAAGAATAAATGAAGCGAAATAACATCTATACCTGCTTTAGTCATGCCGACTCCACTGTCTACGATGGAGAGGGTCTTGTTGGTTTTGTCCGGAACAATCCTGATGAAAAGTTCAGGCTGAGCGTCAAGCTTGCTCTTATAGGTGAGGCTCTCGAATCAAATTTTGTCCAGTGCCTGCGCAAGTAAACAATGTCAAAATCAGTGACTTCAGCCATTTCAAAATCACTTTTCTTCCACTAAGAAGATAAAGAAATCATGATCTGATTGAATATAGAAGAAAGAAATAGGGCTTACATCAGAAGCTTTGCTGATGAGCTCACGGAGGAAAATCTCCTTGTTACTGTAGAAAGTGTTAACGATGAAGCTAAGAAGTTGGTTGATCTCAACCTGGAATGCGAAGGTCTCAGACTCTCCAATATGCACGTCAGCCATCGCAATGCAATACACAAAATCGAATTTAGAGGTGAAGCACTTGATTAGCAGGGAATCAAAACAACACAACAAGATCGTCTTCTTAAGTAGTGCAGTTAGCAGAAGGATCAATTTATGCTTCGTGAGAGAGTGGGGTATAAATGGGATGAAGGTTCTGGTGGCTTCTTCATGATTTATGGATTTTCCACTTTCCAGACGCAGCAAGTAACCGAACCAAATTTGGCGGGTTCTAAAGCTTTCAACTAGGACTAGTAATTTAGGTGAGTCAAACTTATTCGAATCAAACTTAATTCAAATCAAGCTTATTTAAATCGATTTTAAAGTATTTTATCTTTTTTAAAAAACCTATTAGCTAAATTCTGCCCTAACACCTTCAACCTTATTTAGGCTGGCTCAAATATTCAAAACTTTTTAAACTTTTTTGTTATTTATTTCTTGAATCAATTTTAATCTTTAAATAATTATATTATGTATAAAATATTATTTTAACTTTAAAAGAATAAAATAAAAAATAATAACTTATCACATTTATACTTAAGTAACTCTGCTATTATTTTGTTATATTATGTGTAATTTATTCATAAATATTTCATTTATTTATAATTTAATGTCTTATTTGTTTCAATATTACTTTTATTAAGGTCATATATAAATATTTATATATTTTAAATAAATTATATTATTTTAATTATGAACAAGTTGATTTTAATTCAATAATAGTTAGATCACTAATTTAAAATCATTGCCTCAATTAGTTCAAAATTTTTAATAATTTTTAGATAAACTGTATTTTTTATTTTTAAGAATATGAGAAAAATAGTCATTATTATATTATATAAAATAAAATTATTTAATTATGAATAAAATACTATTTTTTTGAACTATTTTTTGTTAATTTATTCTTAATTTTTAACTAAGTCTAACATGAATAATAATTAAATAGTTATTTAAAAATATTGTTCTATTTATTATATTTATCTAGTAGTCGAGTTAGGAATTGTGCATGTGCCCAAATTTTATTTTTAAAATTATTTCTAATTTTATTTTTACTTTAAAATTAATTATTTTTATTTTTAAAAAATATAAAATATATTTTTTAAAAAACACAAATTATGTATAGGACTCAAAATTTTTTTTAAAAAATTTGAGTCTTAAAATATAAAAATTAATATTAAAATTTATTTTAAATATTATTTTGAGATATTTTATTAACTAAAAATAATAAAAATATAAAAATATAAATATTTTTAATTTTTTAAAAAATAACTATAGTAATACATTTAAATATATGATATTTTAATATAAAATGATATAAAATTTAAAGAATTAATTAATATTTTATATATTTTTATAAAAAAATATTATTATTTTTATATTTAAATTCAAATAAGCTTTAATATTAAAAAAATAGTTTTTTTAAGTGGGATTGGACTGATTTGTCAAGTTTCGCCCGACTTATTAGCTTCAGTTTCAATTACGGTTCTCTGTTGGCTGAATCGGGAATCCAGAATTTTCTTATGATCTCCACGGCACCCTGGGCTCGAACTCGCAAGGTGAGTCTCCTCATGTCAACAATATGTGACTAAAAGCCCATTTATGTTGGGCCATAAAGGCCTTCTAACATGGTAATTGGACGGTGAAATAGGCCCAAACATAGAGTTGGATTCGTTTACTAGTGAAAAATGAAAAGCAAAATACTCCCTTCATTTTAAATTATAAGATATTTTTTAATAAAATTTTATATAATAATAAATTTTATTAAATATATTTAATAAATTTTTCTTTTAAAAAAATATAAACTTCTCAAACTACTCATCACCTAATATATTGAAAAGAGAAGTAATGAAAATTAATTATAGAGAAAAAAAATGTAATATTAAAATTAATGCATTTAATGAAACATTAATCTATTCAAAGTATCTTATTTTGAAATAGAGAAATTTATTTAAAAATATTCTATAATTTAAAATGGAAGGAGTAATATGATCCAAAAATAGAGTTTTAAAGCCAAATAGTTAATGAGCAAGCCAAAAAGAGAGAGAGAGAGAGAGAGCAAGCACGGCATGAAGGTCACGTGGAGGTCGTGAAGTAGAAGATTGGAGATTGGAGAGAAGAAAAACTTGAGGCTTTGAGGCAGAGCAAATATCCCGTGACACAATCCTTAAAGCCAAAGCCACTCTCAATATGTTGCGCGTCGTTCTTTCCTCACTTTTATCTCCTCGCTCACGTTCCATTCTTCCCCTTTTACAGTTGAACCTGTAAACATCTCAATTTCTATATTTTCGTCATATGTGACCTAGTAATGAAACTAGAAATCAGTCAATGTACTAGGTTAAGGATTAATGATCAAGGTCGTAGTTAAATAATAATTAAATTGAGCATAAATAAAATATTTTATTAAATTGATTGAAAAATTAATTTAACTATTTATTAATTCAATTAAATGGATTAACCTGAATTTTCATACTATCTAATATCACCCAATCCCTACCTGTTCGCTGCAGCCAGATTATCTCATTCATTTTGGCATCCAACGCATGCCAATAATTAAACCTCTTTAAGACTTGGATTGTGGATTTATTAACAATTATATGCACATGACATCTTTTCTAAAACTACGTCTACAGCCACTTCGTCAATATTAGTTGGCTCAGCCACGCCCAAAGGGTCTGCGCATTTTATGTCAACGAATTTGAAGATCTAAATAATCATATTAGAACAACCAGTCAAATTCTTTTGCCAAAATATTGAATACATTTTTCCGCCGCAATTGAATACTGATCTACAGTACATTGTCCTCTTGTTCATAAATTCTCATGCATTACAATATTATGACTTATGTCTGAATATGTAATATAAAAAAAATTGTCTATTTATCAAATTAATCCGAGGTGGAAACTGAATTTGATCGACAAACTCAAAAGATTCATGCATATATTTTCTAAATAAAAATAAATTAAAGTAATTGGGTCCTTTATTTAAACCGTCTCCTTCACGTCACGGATTTTCACATCATTTGAGATCACAAGCCCCCAAAAAAGCAACGGTGCAAGAGAGGGAAACTTGTCGACATTGCAGAGATCGTTTCAACTACTTCAATTGAAAATGCTCGCTGCTCCTCCCGAGCTCTGATAATCACCATTTCTCTTGGCTCTTGTATCCACAGGCTCACGCTCGAGCTCCAAGCATTCTGCCCCCCGGTGGAAGTCCCATTTTGGGTTCGATTCCAGCTTCGAACATGACCTCCAAAGAATCAAGTTCTGCTGCTTCAACCGATAGTAAAATCAAAAGAGTTCTTACTCATGGGGGTAGATACGTACAGTACAACGTCTACGGGAATTTGTTCGAGGTCTCGTCCAAGTACGTCCCTCCCATTCGCCCAATCGGTAGAGGCGCTTATGGTATCGTTTGGTGAGTTTTTGGCCCTTCAGAGGTTCCTCTAGCTTCGTCCTGATCACAAGCTCTAAATTTCTGGCTTCTGATTACTATTAAGCTATTATACAGGCGATGATAGGAGTCGAGATGTATAGCTTTGATATTTGTATTGGAAGTTGTTGCTCATATATCGATATGGATTTTTGCGAAACATAAGAAACTTGCACATAATGAAAACAAAAATGCTTGAACATCTCAGAAATAGTTGGTAGAATCTGGCTACTTAATGAATGAAACGGAGGTCAATCAAGTGTGGATTTTTAAGTCAGTTTTCAAGGTTTATTTTTCGCCTTTCATGGTCATATCAGACTTAGAATTAAGGAGCTATAGCCATACGTGGTTGACCATTTCTTTGCATAACAAAAGTCCTTTCTTTTTAGTGCCGCTGTCAACTCAGATACGCACGAGGAAGTTGCCATCAAGAAGATTGGTAACGCATTTGACAACATAATTGATGCTAAAAGGACATTGAGAGAAATTAAGCTCCTTCGCTACATGGATCATGAAAATGTTAGTATTCTTTCCTTCTATCTATCCTCATTGGCTGAACCGATAGTATGGTTGTTCCTGATAATGTGAGTAGTTATTTTGACGCAATTGTTTTATTAGTTTATATTTATTATTGAATATTTTCTTTCTCCGATGCTTGCTGAATCTATTCAAAAAAATCATCAATCAGACGCCACATTTTAGTATTTCAAAGGTTGAGCGGCAAAAATAAAAAAAAAAAGACAAAAACAAAAAAAAAAAAAGAAAAGAAAGGATGACCTCACCAAGTTCCTAACTTCCTGTAATTGTCTTAACGAGTATGGATCTTTCAAGGTGTAAAGTCTAATAAAGTGCCTTTTTCAAAGAGTTTGTGTGTGTGTGTGAGAGAGAGAGAGAGAGAGACCTAAATAGTGAGTGTAATAGAATAATTTTTTCTGTCTTTTCACTCTTCCCATTATTTTTCCTTATCGCTCTTCCCTTAAAATTTCTTTACTGGTTTTGCACTTTATGGTATACAAACTGTCAAACTCTTCTCTTTACTATCTTTGCCACGAGAAATTTAGCAAAGTTCTGTTTCAAGTTTACCTGATGTAGAGTACAAATAAATTAGGCTGCTCTTTGGACGGAATAATTTCATATTTTATTGAAAAGACCCTGAAACTGACTCAGTATTGTTGGAAAAACTATCACTTCATACAGTCATATAAAATTTGAATCATCTAGTGTATCATGTTAGATTTCCTCAGACCTGAACATGAAAGAGTCATATGTTTTATCAGTTTCTCTAAGCTTGGATTTTGATCACTGTGTATTCTTGTGTTTCTCTTGAACTATTGCCCATTACTCTCCTTTTGGATTAGGTTCTTGAAATTTCTACCATCTTTTGCAGATCATTGCCATCAAGGATATAATAAGACCGCCCAAGAAGGAAACCTTCAATGATGTATACATAGTTTATGAATTGATGGACACTGATCTTCATCAGATAATTCGTTCTGACCAAACTCTTACTGATGACCATTGTCAGGTTAGGCTCCAATGATGTTTTAAAATTTTAATTGCACGTCTTTAACTTCTACTGGCATCTAACTTGTGTTGCTCAACAGGATTAATGAAATAATTCTACTCTTGCATGTTTGCAGTTGGTTAGGGCACTCAACTAAGAATGGGTTAATGCTTGTATATCTCCATAAAATTGGAATAGAGTATGATGCATTCTTTATAAATCATATAGAGAATCTATGAAAGTGATGGTATTATTAGGATATTGTGGACTATGTAAATATTTTGTTTAGATTAAATTAGAAAGTGATAGATTTTAACTTGAAATATTCTGACTTGGTGAATCTCATGTTGAGAGATAATATTCCTTTATTCGGAAGTTTTAAAATAACAGAACGTGGCTGAGATAAATAGGTTGTATTGAATGTAAAATCTCCCTTTTTTTTCTGAAAAAAAGTAGAGGATTAGTTTTATGACAAATAAGTCAGCAGCAGTCCCTGCCTCACTATTGATCCACTTCAGAAGTATTAAATCTTGACTTATGCTTTTTCTTGAGTTTGAAGTTATGCAAGGAATTGATTTTTGTAAGTTCTGCAGTACTTTCTATACCAGCTGTTACGGGGCCTGAAATATGTGCATTCAGCTAATGTCTTGCACCGTGATCTTAAACCCAGCAATTTACTTCTGAATTCAAACTGTGACCTTAAAATTGGGGACTTCGGTTTGGCAAGGACAACAACTGAAACTGATTTCATGACAGAATATGTAGTCACTCGGTGGTACCGAGCCCCAGAACTGCTCCTCAATTGTTCAGAGTACACATCTGCTATTGATGTTTGGTCTGTTGGTTGCATCTTTGGTGAAATTATGACCAGAGAACCTTTGTTTCCTGGAAAGGATTATGTTCATCAACTAAGGCTTATAACAGAGGTATAGTTCAGCGCTTCCTTATGAAGTTGTAGTTTGATACTTACTAGATTGAATTACATATCTCTGCGTGACATGGTCAAGTGGTAGTTAACCAATAACATCCTCATCTTGCTTATGGAGCTGGTCAACACCTGCAAAGCTTCCTTGCCAAGGGAATTTTCTTGGGAAAGAAGGATAAATCTTTGAGGCTGAATTTGTTTTGAAATACTGCCCTAGTAAGCCTTCAGTCTCTTCGACCTTGCAACATGCGCTCAAGGTCTCCTTGTTGAAGCTACAAGAAACAAGAAACCATTGCATTTCTCATGTTTCCTTTTTCTGCCTATTCTTGCTTTGGAATCCTGAACTTTAACACGGCTTATTATGAAAATTCGATTATCACAGTTGCTGGTTTTCAAAAGTATTTTACACTAACATTGGCTGGAAAAGCTTTTATATATATTTGTCTAGAACTGGCACTCGTCACCGTATTGAAACAAAAGGTCAGGCCATTCCGGGATTCTTCCTGTTTGCTGTTTACCTTCCTGCCCCATTCGTTATGATTGATGAATTCAAACTAGTATTAGGCTACCTACACGCTCATCTTGAATGATGTTACTGTTAAGAGAATGCAAGGAATGTATAACGTCTGATTTTTATAATTCCATGTCTGCTACCTGTAACACCTCACGCATTCTGTTTACCTTTTGCTTAAAAGTTAATAGGTTCTCCTGACGATGCCAGCCTTGGATTTCTTCGAAGTGAAAATGCCAGAAGATATGTCAGACAACTTCCACAATGCAGGAAGCAAAAATTCTCGGCTAGATTCCCTAATATGTCTTCCGAGGCATTGGATGTTCTAGAAAAGATGCTCATCTTTGATCCCAACAAACGCATTACAGGTATGCCGGAAGAATTGGAGCTTCAACTTTCAAGCACATCTTTATTCTTTTCTTGGTAAATGTTATTTCCTTAAATTATTTTATTTTTAAGAGGTACTCTTACTTATTTGCAGTTGATGAAGCACTAAGTCACCCATATCTTTCATCACTTCATGACATGAATGATGAGCCAGTCTGTCCAAGGCCATTCAGTTTCGATTTTGAGCAGCCAACATGTACTGAAGAGCACATCAAGGAGCTCATCTGGAGGGAATCAGTGAAGTTCAATCCTGATCCAGCGCATCATTAGAAATTCTTACATATCTGTATAAATATAAAGAGATAAACTTTTCACCTTGGATACAGTGCTTCTCCTCAGCATCCAGATGTATTGCTAGGAATAGCATTCAACCTCTTTTCCTTGTAATGTAGTCATAAACCAACTTGGACATGAAGGGAAGATTCTCCGGAAAAATGGGCAAACACTGCAAATCCCATTGGATGTGATAGGCATCTATACAAGTTATATAAGCTATTGTATTATACTGAGTTTGCTTAAGTAGGAAAGGCCTTCGGGGAGCATTATAGGATAGCAAAAACTCTGGATTGATCATGGAATCTTCTTCCTGTTTCCTGACAATAATCTTGGAAGCTGTTTTGCGATCTCATCGTTTAGAAGCTCCATTTTTTTTCTCACACCGAAGACTTTTCTATTTTCCTTGTTTCAAGCCTTCAAGGCTAAATTTGTTCACTGATGCGAAGTTCGACTGCCAGTAGAACTCCATGGCTGGACTAAGAGCAACTATCATTGTTTCATGGAGAAATTTTTCTTGCACTCCTTGATAAGACTATCAAATAGTAATATAGCGTTCTGATGACAAAGATTGCTGCTTATTTTTCCATATTTGTTTTCATTCTACACTTATAAAATAAAAAAGGAAAAAAAATGAATTTTACACACGGTGAAACAAAATAAAAATTCATATAATCATTGACAGACTTTTTTCATTGTCTAAGTTGCTTGTTCAGAATTTTGCTCCGTTGGTGCCAGTTATATTACACCATGTACCTGAACTGAATCATTCCTCTTATACTGTCACAATTCACAAATACCTTCTTCCGTAAGTACATGTTTGAACCTGGAAATTATCGACGGGCAAGTGGTCTTCTGGGAAGGTACATGCCCCAACGTTGTCTGGTCCCTGGTCTTGTAACAGATAGCATGGTGCAGGAATCACTTCACTTGAAATGCCAGAAACATCAGTGCAAGTCCATGGAACTTTTTTAGCCTTCTTTGCTAGTTCAATTGTTACATTGGATATGCAGATTCCAGTAAAAGGGTCTCCAGATATACCCTCCAATCTTGCAGCCATGGTTACATTAAGTGCTATCACATCACGATAGTTAATATTCTGAATCATAGGCAGTGCATTAGGATCAAACTTATCATCAGCATGAGAGCCATAATTTCCGGTCATCCAAAATGCCCATTTCATGGTGTTCATGATCATCCTTCTCACATATATGTCCTTGACGTACCCGCCCCTTCCTACAGCAGTTTTGATCCTCACGCCTGACTCTGAATTAACGGCTACTATGTCCTCAGCCCTCACATCTTGGATCCCCCCTGACATCTCGCTCCCTAATGCAATCACAGCACTTGTCGGGGAAATACAAGTGAGTCGTCTGATCACCACCTGCTTCGTTGGCATTCCAAAAGCTATACCATATTCATCCCAACCACTCTTCACAGCCACACAATCATCCCCAGACACTATATAACAGTCCTCTATACGGGTGTTTGTGCACGAATCTGCATCAAAGGCATGAATCTTTGTCAGTTTGCACCCTTAAATAATCCTGACCCATGACGGCACGTGTTCTTATTGAGTGATATAACAAGTGGAAAAACAAATCTGTCACATAAAGAATGGATTTTTCTTCTATTTGGTCCAGTGAGTAGGTCATTAGACAAAAACTTTATGCTTATAGCTCTCTTCAATCAGAATCCAACAACTGACACTTCTATTGATGTGCAAACTTACCGGGGTTGATCCCATCAGTATTTGGAGATGTCACGGGCGCAAGAATAGTGATGCCTTGGACGACAACGTTGCTGCATTCATTATTTTAGATCAGAAAACTTTGAAACTGTTCAGGTTTGGAGTGGAAAAGACTGAAATGTTTAAAAACAGATCTAGCCGAGACAAAGAGGTGTAGTACCTGCTGTACACAGGATGGACATTCCATGATGGAGAATTAACCAGAGTGAGATTGGATATCTGGATGTTACTTGAATACATGATCTCAATCAAGTAAGGCCTGGTATATTTGAGCTGATTCTTGTGGAATTTTTGCCACCACAGGTCACCCTGTCCGTCAATTGTGCCATTGTCCCCTGAAAACAAATTCTTACTCAATAAATCAGAAGAAGCTAATTCTCTGTTGGAGTCATGGGAACATAAGTTCATTAATCACCAGTTATGATCACATCAGTGAGGTTGGTTCCAAATATTAGACTGCCAAACCTTCCGCCTTGGGCATCCCTCCCTCGACCATAGGATGGCAAGGGATCAATCACTGGCCAGTCAATTTCATCCTAATACGAAATTTCAATCCCAAAAACACATTCAAGCGCTTGAGATTATATGCTTTTAAACTGAGCACTTGCATATGGGGCAACAAACTGAACCTGAGAAGCAAGGAGCACTGCATCCTTATGGAGGAATAAGGTGAAGCGGCTAGTGAGATTGAAACTCCCAGTCAACCATTTTCCCGGAGGAACAAAGAGCTGAGACCCACCATTTGACGCACACTGGCTCAGATGATCTATGGCCGCTTGAAACGCTTTAGTGTTCAAAGTTGTTCCATCGCCCACTCCTCCAAATTCAGTCAGAGATGCACTGTAAGCTCTGCAGCTCATGGCACCGTACTGGAAATAGTGCAGTTCCCGAGCTCTACGGCTCTCCACCACAGTAAGGCTTGGCAAAGCAACCACAAGAACCAATAGCGATAATAAACCCATAACCTGCATATTTTCAAATTTCAGTTATCTCTCGTGTCCAATGGTATAGACTCAGACAAGAGAAAAGTCAGTTCTTCCACGATATATTACACAGCTAAAAGAGACAACAGACCACTAAAAGGCTATTGGTAGGGAAGAAGGGGACGTACCTGAGATTTTGTACGGTTGGGATTCATTGCTGGGATGGAAGTGGAGGTATTGTGGAAGAATGTGTAGGTATTTATATTGGTCTAGAGTCTAGATAATCAATATTTGCTCGACATGTGATTCATATCAGGAAGGTGAGCGATAAGAGGCAAGTTAACAAGTTCGATTCTAAGTCTCGTAATTTTCTTGGGGCCTTGATATTGTGAAATGAAGAGTTAATGTGTATTACACTTTAATTACTTGGAAACTATTATTTTGTGTGCTACACTTGGATCCTTATCCATGCTGTTGTATGGTATGTGTTTTTTCAAGGATAGGCACAAATCATAAGGTATTCATTGAAATAAAACGGGGAAGGCCTGATGAAGGAAAGGGGCAGGGTAACTAGTGAGCAAGAAGTGAGATGGATGAGTGAGATTGTGAGGTAGGGAGAGGACAGCGGAAGATGATTGGGCGGTTAGGCGCCGTAGTGGTGAAAGGATGAGCAAGAGCTTCAGATGCATTTTCACCATTTTAATTTCAGTTTCAGTGCTTGTGCTTCGCTGGATGTTCATAGCCAATTAATTGCCCTCTATGAAATGGTTCTGTGAAGTGGTGCACTATCCTCCAATGGTGGACCATACAAGGCACCAATTATTTTACTGAATAGAGATGAGAGATGAGACGGAGCGTGCATTCTATTCTAAGTTTCTAACATGAATGAATGGTCCAAATCTAGCCATGGAGAAGTAGGAAAGGAAGGTCCACAATGTCTCGGATTGCTTCTCAGACTTGTGAACCCGTGACCATTTTATTTTCACACAAATATGACATCACCACACACACGGCCCATATTTCAATTATAATAATAATGATGATGGAGGTAAAACTAAACCAGCCGGTGGGATTTTGTCTGGGGATATAATAATACAGTTCACGTGACATATTTTTTATTTTTTTGTAAAAAAAATTCAGATGAATTGGATCAAGAACTTGTTAAGATTATAGCATACCTAGTGCTTACAGAATATATATATATATATTAAGTAAATAAGTTTAATTACCAAACAAAAGATTTTTTATCAATGATTTCTCGTGAATGTTAGAGTTTAGGAGAAATAGACAAAAATACTATACCTGTGTTCACAAGCTTCTTCCCTCAGTGGCTAATTTGATTGTCCTTTCTGTTTTGAAGAAAAACTTATGTGCTTATATGGGAAAATAAACTATCAGTTTACCGGAATGGAAGAGTGGGAGTTAAAAGTCATTGATCAAAAGCGACATGGAAGTATGGTTCCAATTTAAACGACGTATCAGGTCAAAAAAGCTAAAATTAAACGACATAGAATTATACGGAGGAAATAATCCAATGTTTTGCTTGTAGGCAGTCCTGTTATCTCAAGCTTTCACATTCAAATAACAACATTAGAATCCCTAACACTGTTTCTAAAGCATAGACAATGAGTTTTGTGCTTTATATATATATAGTTGTTTCTTTTATTCTATTCTTTGTGCTTTTGGCTGTGACTATCCTAAAACCTTTAAGTCAAGTTTTTTGTTTGCTACCCCTTTTTCAGGCTATTTGGTTTGAAGCTTTATCTATCCGTGCGAGACAACTATATCAGAATATGGTTTAATAAACTGGATTCCAAGACGCTCTTTCATAATAAGATTTAATCAGCTTCGAGAGAACCTTCACTCTATTTCATATTTATTTGCCAAGTGTTATGTTTTGCAGGTCATCAAGGAGTCTAATGAACATTTCAATTTCCTCAAGATTACATGCAGTAGGGAATCTAATCATTCAAGTAGAGCTTCATTCAAATTTAGTAAGAAAATATCTAATTTTAACAAGTCCTCAATTAACTCAATGGTTTTAAACTCATTGCTAGCATGGGAGATTAAAATAAGAAAATTCAAAAGAACAATGGTAACTTACTGTCATGGTCGTATCATTTTTAATGAAAAAGATATTCAGAGTATGATGTATCGAAAATCTACTTTTTGGCCATTAAACCTATTCATGGAGTCATGTATTAGAAGCTTGTTAGTCTGGGTCAAAAACTTTGAGCAATAAATATTTGGAAATTCTAAAGTTCAACACCACTCTCTTAAAAGTTGATCTAACAAAGGGCTCGCGCTTAGAATCCAGAATTAGAATGGAGGAAACCATAACATTGTGCTGCGAGATATCAATTCTCCTTTAAATCATTTTATTAGCCGCACTTTTGTGAAGACCAATCACAGTCACACACATCACAGCATTTCTCTATTGTTCTCTTTTAGCTCTCCTATTATTACTTTGACTTATTGATCGACTTTGTTTTATTTTTCTTTTTCTTAAAAAAAAAAATTGTCACCCTATCGCGCATTTTATTCTGGCTACCCTGGGATTTTGTTTTCGGCCATGATTCTGGCCTTTTTTTTTTTTTTTTTTGCTTGGATGAGCATGATTCTAATTCACCCTATTTTTTGTATAAAAAACTATCCCCATTTAATTGTGGGGTTTTATATAAAAATACGTTTGCACCATGTGGCAAAATAGTTTATAACTAATCTATATCACAACTCTTTGCATGCATTTTATAACAATTACGTGGATTTGTGCTGCATGAAATTTAAATAAAATTACATTTACTTCTAATTACTTAATTTGTTTATTTTATATTGGTTGCTGCTAATAATTTTCCTTCCATTTATAATTGTATGTTAACTATATATGAAGTAACTCTAATTAAGTTCGTCGGGTTATTTATGAAAAGCATGACACACAACAATTACTTATATGCATGATTTATGAAGTTTAATGTTCGGGGGATTAACTTTACGGGGGGAAAATTTAGAAGTCCATTTAAATGAAATAAATAACCCTTTGTTTTAGTACATTAACGATCCATCAATAAGAAAGCTCACTTGTGAAAAAAAGCATTTGATAGGTTCTTTCTTCTAGAAGACTCATGCAAGAGTTATCTATGAAATGCAATTCCCAGAATTTTAAAATTGAGCCATGTTGTTGGGCAATAAAAAATTAAGTCCCATCAGTACACTTATTGGAAGCTAAACTATGTTTGTCCTTAAATTTGCTACATCACAGGGCCGGATATCAAGGCCGAGTTAGTAGAAACTCGAATTCTTAAATCGATTCCCTCCCAAAAGAACCTTGAATGATTAATTAGTGTATAAGTAGGCGTGATGATAATTAAGGACAATCCTAAATAATTAGAAAATATAAAAGTTAGGTAGGAGAAGATTCTCGGCAAAATCTGGATGCAAATTAAAAGAAAGAATTAAGAACCAGTATTTAATTTCTGCAGGATGGGAATTGGTATTTATATTCCAAGTAGTAGTTTGGTAGGAGCAAGGCAAGAAAAAAAGGTTCCACATTCAATTTCAACCCAATGGACAGATGATATTAAGGAGCAACATTATTGGAAGCAAAATAGAAAAATGAAAGAATCAGATAATTGGAAGCTTAGTGGTGATGTGCGCGCGCGTGCGCGCCTACCTCCATCTTTCCTGTGTTTCTGAAAATGTTTGCTGTCAATTCTTCTGATAGATGAAAACATCGAGACAGACACAGAATATTTTCTCAGTCCATCAGTGTCTAGCCAGCTTGTATAATTCACATATATTAATTGGATATATGTCAGCTAACCAATTCAAATATTGCAGTACAGCAGGCTAATCCAGAAGCTATTTCCAGTGAATTTGAGCACACATATACTTGACATTATATATATATGTGTGTGTGTGTGTGTGTGTATGTATATATAATCTTTCGAGGAAAATGACAACGCATTGCTTGGCACAAGATGCGTGCATGCCTCATCTAAACTAATTCTGTGCACTGATGACAAGCGATTAACTGATTAAGTGAAACGCTCTTTGTTTTTCTCAGAGTCAGGACCATGTATGAACTGGATTCAGCCCAAATACTACTGCTAATTAATGACAATTCCTAAGAAAATTTCCAGATATCAATTTCCTTATATATCAAGTACGCGCATGTAATGGCTGAGACTATTTGATGAGCTTGAAAAATATGTTCTTCATTTTTTTCTCCATATTGTTGTTGTTGTTTGCCAGAACGTTCTTCTTCCATTGTTAGTGATTCATTTACATGCAAATGTTGGCATATATGGAATTAATAAGGTTACATTGTTTATGGTTAAATTATTAGTGAAACGACCATAAGAGGAATATATATGTGTGTGTGTATATATATATAAGGTTAAAGGGTAAAAATTAATGCCCAACAACTCCCCCCCCCCCACAAAAAATACGTGGTATTTTTGAGTGAATAAAAGTATAAAAATATTCATAAACTAGTCTTAACAGGTACAATTTTCCTCGATAGTTAAAAGGGGGGCAAACCACTGGCGAAGCTACGTATCTCCCAGGGTGGGTAAATGGGATTAGATGGATGGGATCGATCGAGAGAGAAAGTACAGGCACTGCAAGCTGTAGGTGCAAGTGTTTCCAGGCATGCAGTACAATTAGCACTTTGTCCAATAATCATATATCATATATGGTCACAGCCAAAATTTCTGATTAAGAAAAGGGGAATCGCACAAACACTTGTAAATTATAATTTGTGGTTGTTAAGGTTCATCTTGCAGAATATTCCCCATGTCCAGCGATTATAGCAGACACGAATAAATTGAAGCAAACATTCGAAAATATATTTTGATAGCTAGGCAGATAACTAATGAAACAGCATGCATATATAGCAGCAATTAATTAATTACTCAAATGAGGAAATTGCTGTGATGAATAATATGGCAAACTAATGACCCAGGGATTAAATAATCTTGAGTGCAAACCAAGTCTTAAAATATATATATATATATATCTAAAACACGCGAAGAGATCAAATAATACAAAACACAAATATGGCTCTTTCATTACATATAGTGTAAAGTACAGCCTAACTGCACAAGAAAGCAGACACTCGGATATAAGAACATTTCTTGCTAGCTAGCTAGCTTAGTTGGAACGGTGAAGGTCCACACCCATCGAAAAGACTTGTATGTTTGGTCTGAATTATTTTAACTACACGACATCATCTTCTGAAAACAAGCAAGAACAAGCAACCCAGAGACGACGAGAGGACATGATTAATACCTTATTTGACATTCTTTGACTATTCTAAAACTAAGGATACATATAGTAATTGCCCCAAATAAAGCTGCAATATATTGGTGAAACTATGATCACTTATCTCCGAACAAGTATCCAAGCGAGGAATCTCCTCCAGGAACCGATTTGACTTTGGTAGATGGACGATCCTAAAACAAGAATATAATTATAATCAAGGAGGACGAGAATATAATACTAATGAATGAAACAATGAGAAAATTAATTGAGTTACAGTGAGGAAGGTGCCCAAATGGTGGCCCTGAGCTCGGGAAAAGGCGTCGGAGACGTGCTGGGGATTTTGGCTGGAGGAAGGAGAGAGAGCACTCTTATTGTGAAAGATCTGATCAGTGTTAGAGGGCATGTCAGTGCCATATGGTGGAAGTGAGACTGTCTTTGAAGGAGATGATTCCTTTGGCTGTTCCTCTGACCCAAACAGATACCCCAATGAACTTTGTCCTCCGCCGTAGCTTTCTCCTCTGCTCATCCTTCTCCTTCTCGATCCAATTCTCCTCAATCAAGATCTCTCTCTGTCCTCCCAGATATTATCAAGCCGAGAATATTTATAACCCTAATATAATCCTTAACCTCTCTCTCCCTCCCTCTCCCTCTCTCTCTCTCTCTCTGAAACGAGATGGGTGTTAATGACAGCACACCGTACCTAATCCCTCATTATTGACAGTAAAAATTATTGCACAGTTGCTGTGAACAGGTTAAAGGAGCATATGTGTGGAAGAATTTCAACTCATGGGTGAGAGATTTTCCCTAGCTCCTTACACATTTGACGATCATGACACACAGATGGTTTCCAATATTCATGAGTCCTTTAATTTCATCCTCAGACATTTAATCAAGAAGTGACGCTTTTCCACTGGGGGGGGGGGACAGAAATTTTCCCCTTTCATTTGTCCCTCAAGCCTCGTTTGGTATGATGGAAGAGTTTTTAATGGAATTGAAATCAGAATCGAAATAGAATTGAGTTTCAAAAGTATGTTTGGTATGAAGATAGAATTCTAATATAATATTAATTTATATATGTACTTAAAATATAAAAAGATTAAATTGCCCTTTTTTAAAATTAAAAAGACATATCTTGTTATAAATGGACAAAAAAGATGAGGATAGTGGAGTCACAAATTGAATTCAAGAAAATTGAAGCAATTTCATGGTCAATATGATGGAATTAAATTCTAACATTTTTGGTGTAATTAGGATTCTTAGAAATTATAATTTTTATATATCAATCATACTTAAATTAAGATTTTATCTTTAATTTCATTTTCACTTTACCAATTTAATGCTACCAAACATTACCTCAAAGTAGGAGGTACACTTGGCGGAGAAGAGAAAAGTATAAGGAAACATAACAATAGGAATTCGTTCTCTTCAATTATAGAATTCCTTTGGTATTTGTCTAAAGCAATGTTAAAGTACTGCAATAATATGATAACTAAAGTTCAGAAGTATGGAAAGAACGAGTTTCTCTCTCTCTCTCTCACGCACAACCATAGATTAGATGCATAGGGAGCTAGCTTGCTGGATCATATAGCTTGAATGTTGTTAACTATAATGAATTTTTGTGTTAGAAGTGAAATTCCAAGTCAAGAACTTCACATGCGAAACGAAGGTTTATAATTACACATGAGTAATTCTTTCACTTAATATGATAATTTCTTTAAATAAGTTATTCCTTTAAATTTATATCTTTTAAAATAGGATGAGCTTTTCTTTTAAAATTGTGCTCCTGATATTTTAATTTTTTGTAAATTATTGTTTTACCTTTGATGCATTAATTAAAAAGTATAATTGATACATAATTATAGAGCTAGTCCCCACACCATAAGAATCTTAATTTTTCTCATCGTTGCCTTACCTTTTTCAGTTTATCAAATAATTACATTTCGCCGCAGTTGATGATGCTCATGCCAAAAGGGGTAAATGTCACATGATATTTTAGATTTATCATGGTTATTATTTTCATTTATTCCATGCATTGAGTAATGCTTTATCAACTAATTGAATTAGTATTGGCTTGACAGCACGTATTAACTGAAGTTGACCAATGTCATGTCCGACCAGAATCGTTCAAATGATTTTGATGGCTTCGTGAATAATTAACATAAAATTCTAATCAATTAAATTAATAAAAATCCGTTCTTGACCTTGTCTATGTCATAACGCCAAACAAGCACATGATGACTAAAACAATTTGATTAATTAGATAAAGTTGATATACCTATATCTAAGAATATAACAATAAACTATGCGCTATAGCTCTCTGTTTGGTTGCTTACTGGTTAATAATTGGAACCTTTATCTATCTATTTAATTTTGTTTAGTGTAGATCTCTTGAATTTTTTTTGTCGTAAAAAAAAACCACAAAATGCTGCATCGGTGGAACTTTACATTTGCCCGATTAAAATATGCAATTTTTCTCAATGTAAATACTTTTCATTTCTAACTTTTAAATGATGCTTATGCGTATTAATCTGTTTTTTTTACTGATATTAATCTGTTTTCATATACTTTATTTTGTACGTTATAATGACTGTATATAATAGAATAAATTAAACAAAATAGAGAAACATCTTACTTCGGGTTAAATGTTTAGGGCTATTCAATTTATTTTTTCAAAAATTTATTTGTTTGAGTAAGTGTCTGATTTATATATTTTTAAAACTATTCTTATTTTTTTTAAAAAAAATAGAAATAACTTAGGGATGTTTTTGTTTTTTTTTTTTTCAAAGCACATCACATTCAATTATTTTACATTTTCTTTAGCCATGATCAACTAGCTACTATCATATGTTGTTATTCTTAACCATTATCGATCATCACTTCGGTTTTTTTTTTTTATTCTGAGATTATTTTTAGATCAATATAGTCAACATGTGTTCATTCTTTTTTGTTTTGAAAAATGATTTTTAAAAGTTATTTTATAAAATAGTTCTTAAAAATAAAAAATAAAAACAAACCAAACAAATCGTTAATCAAACGCACATGTTCATAAAAAAGCTAATATTGATGTCAAGTATGACACCGCGCGCATAGGCTGTGGATGGTAAGCAAGTATTAACTTAGCTCCTGTGGTATCGAGACATCTGTGAGGATATCTTACCCGTATGCTATGAATAGTAAACAAATTACTTAAAATGTTGCATCGTGAAAAATATTTATTTAAATATTATTTTTTTATTTTTATTTATAGGAAAAATTATTTTTTTTAATTTATTTTTTATATAACTGAAATTATATTTTTTATTAAGTATTTATTATAAATTTTTTAAATTATTTCTCATAATTTTATCATTCATAATCATAAGAAATAATTAATGAGAACTTGATTAATACAATTAATAAAGAATATTATAGTTCAATTCTTTTTATTTTAAGACACAATTGACACAATTAACTAATTTTTTTAAATTGTGTGAAACAATTTTTTTCTATAAATAAAAACGGAGGGAGTATATCAAAAATCATTTGAATCAGGAACAGGCTTATATTTGTGAATAATTTCACTTTTTATTGAAAATAGGCTTATATTTGTGAATAATTCATTTAGGCCAAGAATAATTTTGAAATCAAAAATTATTTTCAATAAAAAGTGAAATTATTCACTTAGTAAACAAGTTCAGCTTTTTTGTTTATTGACAATACATAATATTTTTTATTTTACTTTATCTCAGCATGCTACACTGAGAGTTGAGTTGCCTTATCTATAAATTTCTGGAGATAGACTGAGCAAGCAATGTGGTGGCTACTTGTCTATCCAATCACCAATTACAAATGAAAATGTAAGGGAACAAGTGCCTCAAAATTTTAGTCAAACTCATCACATGTCGAAGTATTTGGATTTTTCATGTTTTTATTTAAATGATCCTAGTACAATTTGGATCGGTCAAAAGTAAAAGTATTGTATTCAGTTAAAAATAGGGCGAGATTATCAAGTAAAGAGATAAACAATCCAAATTGAGTAGGAGTAAGAGTTGAAAAAGGGTAATGATATGGCTAGCACAAACACATAATAAGATTTGAACTGAGTATGATTGTGAAAGATGAAAAAGGATGATGATAATGATGAAATTGTCATGTAATGGGATTAACTAAAATCTTGAGTCTCTTGTTTTCTTACATTTTTATTTTCAATTTGTAATTGAACAAATAAGTAGCCATCACGTCACTTGCTTGGTTTATCTTGAGAAATTTATGAATGAGGCAACTCAACTCTTGGTGATGCATACTAAGAAAAAGTAAAATAGAAAATATTATGTATTGTCAATCAAAAAAAGTTGAACTCATGTACTAAGTGAATAATTTCACTTTTTATTAAAAAAATTTGATTTTAAAACTATTCTTAGCTTAAATGAGTTGATATAATATTTAAATAAATATTGATGTAGCATTTTGGTAATTTTTTTTTTCCACTGGTTATAGCATGCAGGTAAAAAAGCTAACAGTTCAAGTTGACGGTCATGCAACTTAGAACCAAATAGTTTATTAAAAAGAACAAGGGATCGAGTTAACTAGAACTGAAAGTCAGAATTGAATACATTGGACATAACTTGCAAAAAAGAAAAAAGAAAAAAAAGAAGCTAAAAGTAAATAGTACATATGAAACTGCTGTCGTATCGGTTGGGACAGGATGATGTGGCATGGGCCTAATTAAATGCCATTATTGAGGCTGCTAATTAAAAGCATCATTGCTTGAGCGGGTTAAATGAAAAGAGAGCACACAAAGCATGGAATAATAACACGGACCCAGTTATTGGGTTGGCAGGGTTCTCCTAGGCCGAAGAGAATCGTATCTGCAATAAAACAAACGTCTTTAATTTGCCAGTTCATCATGTATATTGCATTACCAACTGGTTTCAGTACAAAAGGTTAAGACCGTTTCAACACGTGTCTCAGATTCGGCTTTATATGAATATAGAAATACTCCTAATTAAACATGATAATACTGCAATCTGATCAGTTATCCTGACATACATAAAAAATATATATGGTATTAGGTTTGGCTTCGCCGGTACATACAGGAGTACCGAGCACGCTTTACAGATGAGCCCCAATAGCGATTCTTGATTCCGTCGGAATGATCAAGATATTTGCTGATCCTCTCAAAGACCGATGACTCACCACTGCACAATGAAATGATCCATGTCTTGTCAGTGTTGCTCAAGAAAAGAAGGTGGCAGAGTCAGCACCAACCGCCCTCACCAGCACATACAAAAATAGGGAACATCTCATTTAAATTCTCAGAAAATAATTTAAATGCATGGAAGGCGCATACAAAAATATGGGATTCTTCTGCAGGTTCAAGGCCCTTCATATAATTAAAATTTTTGTTGAAATGTCATAAATATTATTTTCTCTCTTTTTTTCTTCTTTTTAAAGAAAAAGTTTTAACATTATAGATTTTTAAAACTACTAAGTTGTCAATAGGCAAGCCACTACCAACAACTATTGATAGTTGAAGCTGTGATGTCAATGGTCAAATTTGACCAAAGAGGACCAAGAGATTAAAAAAAGGATTTGAATCATTGACCTCTTGTTGCCAAAAATAGTTCACCATTGAACTATATAATATATCGCAAAATAATACACACACACACATTTTATAATTTTTGTTTTTAAGTATTGATATGAGTTGTTGTTAATCATAAACATGATGTTGTTCATGTATGACGATCACTTATAAATATCTTAACACGACTTGTTTATACATAAAAAAGTTATTAATTTTTAAAACCCAATTTATTTAATTTTTTTTAATAGCTTGTTCCTTCAATATTAATATGTTATCAATATTATACTAAATAATTTATATATCTGTTATAAATTTATCTTTCAAGCATTCCCATATGCTTTAGTTAATCAAGGATATATTGTTATTTATATTTGAATAATCAATTGTAGATGTGTAAACACGATTTGTTCACACATAAAAAAGTTATCAAATTTTAAAACTTTTTCGAACAACTTTTTTCTTCAATATATACAGGTTATCTTATGCTAAATAATATATGTTTATGTTATAAATTTATCTTTCAATCATTTTCATGGGTTATGGTTAATTATGAACATATTATTTTTTATATCCGAATAATTACTTGTAAATGTATAAACATGACTTATTCATGACCAAAAAAGTTATCAATTTTTAAAATCTAACTTGTTCAATTTTTTTATAGCAACTTATTTTTTTAATATTAACAAGTTATCAATGTTATGCTAAATAAAATATATAAATTTTATAAATTTATTTTTTAACCATTTTCATAGACTGTGGTTAATCATGGATATATTATTACTCATATCTGAATAGTCACTTGTAAATATATGAATATGACTTGTTCATACATAAAAAAAATAGTAAATTTTTAAAACCGAATTTGTTCAATCTTTTTAGCAACTTATTTTTTTAAATATTAACAGGTTATCAATATTATGCTAAATAATATATATATATATATATATATATATATATGATGTATGTATGTATACATGTTACCATGGATATATTATTATTCATATTAGAACAATTACTTATAAATCTTTAAACATGATTTGTTTGTATATAAAAAAGTTGTCAATCTTTTAAACCCAATTTTTTGGTTTTTTTTTTAAGATATTGTTCATTTAAAATTGATAGGTAAATAATATATATACATCTATATATGCTCTAAATTTACTTTTCAAACATTTTCATGTGTTGTGGTTAATCATAGATATATTGTTGTTCATGTTAGAATATTCACTTGTAAATACTCAAATAGAACTTATTTATGCATAAAAAAGTTATCAATTTTTTAAATCCAACTTTTTTGTTTTTTAAAGAACTCATTTATTCAATATTAATAGGTAAATAACATATACATATATATATATATATATATATATATATACATATATATATATATATATATATATGCTATAAATTTATTTTCAAGCATTTTCTTAGACTGTGGTTAATCATGGGCATATTGTTGTTTGTGTCAAAATAATCTTTTGTAAATACTTGAACATGACCTGTTCATATGTAAAAAAGTTGTCAATTTATAAACAAGTTATGTTCATATATTTATAAGTGATTGTTTAAAAATAAAAAATAATATGTCCATGATCAATCATAACCCATAAAAAATGTTTAAAAAATAAATTTATCACACACACACACACTTTTTTTGGCATACTATTAATAACCTATTAATATTGAATGAACATGTCGTTAAAAAAAATAAACAATCCGAGTTTTAAAATTTGATAATTTTTTATGTATGAACAAGTCATATTCATACATTTGCAAGTGATTATTTGGATATGAATAACAATATATCCATGATCAATTACATCCCATAAAAATATTTAAAAAATACATTTAAAACATATACATACATTATTTAGCATAATATTAATAATTTATCAACATTGAAAGAACAAGTTGTTAAAAAAAATAAACAAGTTGAGTTTTAAACATTAATAACTTTTTTATATACGAACAAGTCATATTGACATATTTGTAAGTAATTATTCACATATAAACAACATGTTTATAATTAACAGCAACTCATATTAATGCTTGAAAATAAAAATTATAACATATATATTATATTTTGTAATATATTATTAGATGACTTTGATAGTTCAGTGATAAATTATGTTTTGCAACACCAAAGGATCAAAAGTTCAAATTCTCCCTTGGCTCCCTTTAATTGAATTTGACTATCAACACCCTGACAATTGGCAATTGTGAAATTTTTTGATTAAAAAAAAAAAGACAAGGCATTTATGACATTCCAGCAAACATTTTAATTATATGAATAACCTTTGGGCTTGTAGAGAAATTTCAGTTTTTTTTTTTTGAGCTCTTCATATAGTTAAATTGTGTTTTAAAGCCCTCATGAGATTCGCTCATAAAAATGTGTAATTAAAATGGAAAAGAAGGAAAGTTAATAATTTAATAACGAAGCGAGGGGTGAAGGCAAAATCTTAAAGAAGGGATCCTTAACCCTGCTAACGACAGACAAGTACTAACCCTGACTATTCAAGAATGGTGTTGAATTCAAAAGCAGACTTGATTAGCGTGTGGCATCTTGGTGGACAGCACACGTGTGGGCTATTAAAATTTAAAGCATATAAAGTTGGGATGGAGGTGTCCCTTCCTTCCGTCCCCCCCTCACAGAGTTGGTGATGGCTGGTGGATATATACACGCACACACTGCTTAATTAAAACTTAAATCACGATTCTTCTGCATAGTTCATATTAGCTCTCTCTCTCTCTCTCTCTCTCATTCAAACATGTCACCCTAGGACTCCCGACTGTGAGAGCTTAACTGGTTAGGTGAAACGCATTCATCTACCCTGTCTTTTATTTATTTTCATTTTCATTTTATTTATTCCTCTCTTGTGCCTTTTTCTTAGTAGTCTTCCACCAAATATGTCAAAGACATTGAGTCTTAAGAATAATAATAGAATTTTTGAGCTTTTTTTATCATAATTTATCCAAATATAAAGATGTAAAGAAATTGATATAAAAAAATGTTTTTGATTAATGAGAATGTGAAGTACAAAATTATAGTGATCATGACTTGAAAAAGTAAAAATGATTCTAAAACTACCGGAGTATAAGGCAAATTTGAAAAGTGAAAATGCTCTATCTAAAAATGTTAGTAAAGTGTTGTTGATAATGTCTTCCTCGCAATCCTTTGATCCTTTTATAAGTATTCAATTGAGATCATTATTCTTATAAGGTAAAGAGCCCGTTTGTGAAATATCAATGATTATTTAGCATAGCCTAACAACATTCGTGACACGTCACGCCATATTCACCCAACAGTATTTAACTTCTAGTCACCCCAAGTCTTGAGGGTTACGCCAAACTCATGCATGACACACTTTCTCTTGGAAACAGACGAAGCTATGTATCTTGGGCTTATCATGTCATTTGTCTAGCTCATTCTTCTTGCTTTTTAGTCGACGTTTCAACTTTAGACCCATACACTTAGGCATGTAAGTTTCTTTTTATAAAAATAAAATTTAAGTGAGCTGGTTTTGGAGCTTACCAAGGTAAGGGCATGCCTACAAATTTAAAGTATTCAAAGGGATATTTATAAATCATCCATTAACAAAATTCTCACAACTCTACAAGTATATAAGTTTTTTTTTTTATCAAGTATATAAGTTATATATAACAAAACCATCAGGACTTCGAAGCTCAAAGTCCAAAATAGATTTGGGCTTCTATGGGAACTTCTTCTAGGGCATTATGCAAGTTGACCGCAAACGCGCCTACAATTGCCAGGCCGAAAATGATAGTCTTTTTCCTCTTGGGCCTTGAAGAAAAAGATGTACCATTAGCAACGTATAATTCGCCAAATAATGAAATAATATTGTGTGCCTTTAATAAAACTATATTCCCACTAAAATTCTGAGTTTTCAATCAACTTAAGAATATTTTTTTAGCCCGCAATCATATTGACGCTAAATAATTTGAAATTTTTCTAATTCTATACTTAAAGAATGATTGGGACATTTTCTAATATTTCTCTAATAATCACATGTGAAGACTTGAAAGAATAAACTTATTAATTTGAATTTTGATGAAAAAAGAACAATTTCATGATTTTATATATATATATACACACGATTCTGTGTAGCGGTAGCGCCACGTGTCTCCCATGCGGCTGCTGGAAACAATACTTCGGGAAGATTCGTGCAGCGTCGTCAACAAATCAGAAAGAGCCTCCCCATTCGCCGTTGTCAGTTGCCGGTTCTGCTTCCCCCAAAGTCCAAAGTCCATCTCCGTTTGTGTAAGTTTTTTGTTTTCTTGCCTCTTTTTATTTCTAATACCATCTTCCCACTCTCTACAGTTTCATTTCCGAGTAAATTTAAGCTCGGTTTCTACTCATGTTCCAATGACGTTGTGTTCCGTTTTCTTTTCCCGCTAGTTGAACCGTAATTTCGTAGTAGATATGCTGTATGCATGTAACCTGTTACTGAGTGTGCTTTATCCTTTTGACGCGTGCGTGAGATTGCAGACGCAGCAGTTCATTCAGTGTTATCTATATGCGTGGCGTTGCGCTCTTGGCTGCTAAAAGGAAATTCAATCAAATCTCCAAGGTTAAAGGATCAGGTTCATGCGGTGAGTGCCGTATCTTAATTAATAGAAATCCTAATCTATTGGCCTCTTTAGCAGCGGCAGAGGGATAGGGATTGCAATTGCCAGTATAGATGTATAATAGAAAACAATTTGATGTTTGAAACAGGTATGATGGCGACTTCGCCTCATAAGAAAAAAGCGAACAACGAATTTAGCGAAGAGAAACCAATTACAAAGGAGGACATTGACCCTGTTGTTACCGTCAGCAGACCCCCACCGTTTCCCCCAGTTCTTGGACCATTAGTCGCTCTCACACTGTTAGAGACGGGGTTCAATGGTGATGCCGATGGTAAATCTTGATTGCAGGTGTGGTAACAAACTGGTTGCTTGTTAATGAATTAGCTACTCACTCCCTTCCCTTCTTGCACTGTGTTACTTACCGCCAAAGAATATCCTGTATATGTAAATCGCAATGTTGTATGTATAGCCGAACAATCGAGCCCCAATGCTCCAACACTTGATGTACCACTTTAGTAGTGGGTTGACAATAAGAGGTGCTATGAGCATGTTGTAGATTTGTTTTATCCTTTTCAGCACTTCATGATGACTCTTTAAGAACCCTGAAAAATGATACCATTATGAAAAGATCTCTGAATATAGTTAATTTTGTTAATTTTCCTTGCATATAGTGCTTGAAAGGAATAAAAAGATCTCTGAATGCTGACTTACATTCAGTTGCCTTTGGAAAGTCATCAAATAATGAAGTCACCGTCTTCAGCAGCGTCTGCTTTTATCAAGGCCGAACACCGGGGCATTGAACAAATATGAATGGAAAAAAAACAGGGTTTAATAGTCAGCCGCTCCAAATTGTGGATCTGAAACGTAATTTCTTTTGATACAGAGTTTGAAAACTTGATTGAGTCAATTTACATTTGCGGCCGGACTTACCAGAACTATACCTCCAGGTTTAATTGGCGATTCAATTAATACGACAGCCTTCCTGCATATGGTTTTGTGGTGAGACTTTGGTTGTCATAGTGGAAGATATATTTTATTCTAGTATTGAATTTGTTTTACTGTACTTGATAGTTAGTTTTTCTCCTTCTTTAGAGAACTCGAAGACGGTGCAACCTCTGGTGAATGGGATCCTTGCACCTTTCCATTCTGCTATAACACAGATCTTCATCAATCAATAAGATATATAATTTGTTTACCAATGGTGAGGACAATATAACAGAACCGTGGTGAACAAGTATCTGAGAAGAAATAAGACCTAGATGCCAGTTCGCGGTAGCAGAATATCCATCGCCCTCGCATACATGGCCAACCTTGAATTTCACATTCTGACCCATACTTGCAGTGAGCGTGTTTAAGAAGTTCACAACTTCCTGCAACATTCAGGGTGGGGTTTAGAATGTCTGATGTAGCTAGAAAATGAGACGAAGATCTATTTCTAAATAATCAAAACGCATTACGTACGACTTTTCCATTGAAGGGTTGGGGAAAAGAGTAGTCGTCAAATTGAGCATCCTTGGATATGCATTCACCCAGTTGTCGGAGATTTTTGTCATTGATGCAGGCGTAAAACTGCTTCACTTTTTGCGATGGAGACTCTGAAATGGACGAAGAATTGGAGCCTGTGTCCGAATCCTGGGCTGAAATTCTGTGATTGTCCCAGAATGGGCGGTGCGTTATTCCCTTGAAACTGACACTATGTTGTTGTATTTTGGTCTTGCATGGGCCAAAATTGCATGTTCCTTTAAAGGACAAGGACCTCAAGGCTAGCCTTGTGGTGATGTGGGACTGAACACCCTGGTTTGTCGGTGTGGCTGTGCCTGGAAATTTGAGCAGGGTGTCCATTTTCGTACTGAGTATTGCTATATGGTATAGTATATAGAAAATTAGTGAGTTGTTGCGTGTGAGGTTGAAGGGAGGAAAGGAATGGGATGGCAGGTTTCTTCTAACTTCAATCAAGGAATATGTGCCTGGTTTGTTTGTCTGGCTCGCCTTTGCTGCAAATCCAAGAATATTACCTCGCTCCTTGCATTCGTTTTTTTTTTTTTCAGTCTCTTAATCGTTCTAACATTAAAGTAATCCTACAATTCTAACTTTAAAGTGCATGTTACGTAGCGGAATACAGCATGAGCCAATGAGGTCTCAATTCCTTTCGGACGCCAGGTTATGCTTTTAATGATAACTAGATTTATATGGCAAGGGAATGTTTTAGTATTTAAAAGATAAAAATAAAAATAATATTAAAGAAATTATTTTGGTGTATTCAAAGTACAATATAATACTTTTTTGTCAATTTTATTTTAATTGCATATTTTTTATTTTTAAAATCTATAAGTAGATGAAATACAAATATTTTTTTTAACTTTTAAATTTTATTGTACCAAAATACCATTCTTAATATGTTTTTTTAAGGTTTTATTCATATTTTAAATTTACTAATTAATTCATATTTATGTTTGTTTAAATTTTATAATTTTAATGATATATGTTTAAATTATTTATTTAAATATTGTCATACTTAAATTTTTAAAGTTCCTTTTTTTCACCAAAGATTGTTTGAAGTTCTTTAAATTTGGAAGTGAGAGGAAACAAATAGGTTATGAGGAAAAATTAATAATTTTATTTTTTTAACATAATTACAAGTAATAAATTAAGTACTCCCTTCAAATTAAAATTAATGCATTAGTAATTAATTCACGGTTCTTAAAAAATATTAATTGAAATATTATTTTTTTAAAAAAGTTATATCTTTTCAATTTTATTATCATTAAATGCCCTATATAAGTGTTTTAGTAATGATAATTAAAATTTCAATGTATTTTTTTCTTTCAAAAAATAATAGGAAATAAAGTAAGGATATAATTAAAAAAATAATTATAAAAATTACTCAATGCCTATGCTTGGACCAAACAAAGCTTTTAAAAAATGCCTTATATTGTGATTTGGAGGGAGTGTTTTAGAATCTTTAACAAAATGTTCCTAATGGTGTTAAAAATGAGACTAAAATGTAGGCTTTGAAATAATGATTTTATGAAAATATATCCAAACACCTCTATTATATGTCAAAATTAATTATGAACTCTATAACATTCTAAATTATGATTCCCATATTAAATTTAATTAACCAAGAGTAATTAGGAGTATTAAACAAAGTAATGATGGAATATGAGTAATTTGGAGCAAGGTTTGGGGTTTAAGAGTAAATTTGATGAAGAAATTAGTTTCTATCCATGATTGTTTGCGAATATGACCTAATAGAAGATAAAACTGTCTACAGTCGAGCATCCCTAGAAAAGGAACATGCTCTTTATTCACAACCATCCACTGTTGAGTCTTTCATCAGAGATAACTATCCACAGTTGTAAACAAAGGGGGCCAATTTGGATTAATGGTTTTGACCATTACCAATCATGAATTGTAATGTGGACAATTGTCCGCAATTGAAACATCAGAATTGTGATTTAAGTATTAGAAAGTGCAGAAACAAAGAGAAAGAGGTAGAGGGTTGAAGGAGCAGTGAGAGGCTTCTTTGGGGCATTAAAATTTTGGCAATTTTGGAGCCCTTTGAGCTTGTAATCATCAGAGATAAGTTCCCCATCCTTCCTTTTCCTTTTTAGCTCCATTTTAAGGTTATGGTTTTTTATATTTCTCTCCAATTCGATCTTTTGGTTGATTTTGAGTAATGAGATTTTTATGGTCAAATTAATGGGTTAAATAAAATTGTTGGAAGTTAGTTTCTACTCCTAGAATAATGGGTACCAATGATTTGGCTAAAAGATCCAATTTATGTAATTTAGACAAACCTTAGGCCTTTGAGGGATGATTTAGAAATTTTAGGTGTTATATTAGCTATTAATTCAGTTATTGGGAGCCAAATAAAGCAAACGAGAGTAAACTAATTAGATGTAAGAATTAGCTTATGGTTGGAAAATTTGGTTAACAAGTGTGAGTTTAGAATATTGAAAAGTAAAGTTTATGTTGTTGTTAGTGATAATGATTAATGTTAATTGTAGATTGATCCCGTGAAGTATTGGAGAGCTTGAGTTTAATTTGGAAGCAAGTGGATTCTTAGGAGTAACCTCCGAGTCCTTAAATGTTTGAGGTAATTGAGAAAAACTATTACCTATTATTGCTTGTTGATTTAATTATAGGTGTTTGTAAACCTTGAAAATTATATTTTCATATAGATATCCTTATGTGTACTTGTTTGAGTTTTTTAAAATTATGCAAGTGTGGCTAAATTGCATAATTGGAATGTTGAGCTTGCAAATGATAAATGATTGTTCAGTGGTGATTGAAATTCCTTTGAATTTTGTAAATATTAATGAAACTATGCATGATGATGTTATAGAAATGTGCTATATGTGAATTACCATAAGTTATTAGCATGAACATATTGATAGCAAGAGTTCACCTAGCAGAGTATTGATTTGTGTCGCCACGTGGATCACACCAACATTGTGGCACCTCAATGTTTAGTTCTTAACTTTACCCATCAAACCCGCCTAGCGAAGGTGGTAATAAGGTTTGTTTTCAAACCTAACTAGCAAAGTTGATAATAGGGTCTTGTGACATCCTTGTATTCAAGATGTGAAAATCCATGATTCATGATTGAGTGTGAGACTCCATCTTGATCACCTCTCATGATTGAAGAGCTTAGACTTACCTGATCACACGAGTTTAGCTCTGGTTTATTATATAGCTCATAGATTCAGTCAATAGTAATAAAAGATTGGTGAAGTTATTGATCATGCATTGCATTGAATTGTGTTTAATTCTATTAAGTTGTTTTCATAAATGCCCACTTTGCATGCTTATTATTAATTGACTTGCATGAGTATGCTTTAGTTAACCTTGATTATTAAGCGTTTGTTTGGATTTCAGTTGGATGTAATAAATTATAAAAATAATTGATTAAATGGTGAATTTTAATCATGATTGATTATGTTATAATGTAATCCGTTTGGATACTATTTTTTTAAAATTTATTTTATCAAAATTGAAGATCTTTAAATAATTTATTTAGAATCAATTTTAGCTGTATAAATTACCATAAAGGACATTAACTTTCAAAATTAAATTATTAATAAATTTGTATCAAATATTATTAAAGTTGTTACATTTTATTTAAGAAGTAAAATATATTATTTAAATTACATATCTAATTAATTAAAAATTTTAAATTATATTAGTATTAACATTTAAATTTACGTAAATAAGTAATTCAATATATCTTAGTTAAAATAAATTTAATAAAAGAGAAATATTTAATTTTTAAATATCAATATCAATTTTTATTAAGAAAAAAGAAGAGAAGAGAAGAGAAGAGAGTTTGATTTTATTTTTTTGTTAAATTTTATGCTTTTCTTATAATTTTTTTGGGCCTTTCTTTATAATTTTCTTCAATATCTTTATAAATTTGAACGCAAAAGCCATTCTTTTAGCTTTGGCAAAAAAATTATTTTTTTTAGAAAAAATCAATTTTATAGAAAAGTTGGTGTTTGGGTAATTGAAGTAAAAATTATTTTTTTTTCTTCAAAAAATTGATTAACATGGCTATCCAAACATACATTGAGTGATCGTACTATTATGTGATTTATTATCTTACAAGTGCTAGCTCTGATCTAAATAAGGCTAAGACATTTAAGGCTTAGGAAATTCTACTTCCTGTTAATTAGCTTCATATTTAAACAAATATATTTAATGGCAGAAAAGAACTTTTTTCTTTTTAATGGCTCGTTTGGTACGTTGAAATTGAGATTGGAAAAGTGAAAGTGAAAGCCTGAAAAATGCATGTTTGGTAACTAAGGGTGTTATAGGCTCGATTTGTTTGGTTTTAGCCACAAACCAAACTGAACCGAACCATTTGATTTATTCATAACTAAGACTTAATTGGTTTTTATGAAGTTCGGTTTAGTTCGGTTTAATTTTCAGTTTGGTTCAGTTTAATTAAGGTCTAGATCAAGTTTTAATGCACTTATTTAATTTTTTTCCTTCTTTCCATCTTCATAATGGTGTTATATATTAAAATTAAATTTAATTCTTTTTGGCTCCATTTTTCTTTTTGGCTCCATTTTTTCATAAGTAGAGGTATAAAAATATAATAAATTTTAATATGATGATGATAATTAATCATAAAAATTGGTATGAGTTTTTAACATTAAAATTATTTAAGATTATATATTTCCATTCAAGTCCTTTAAAAATATTTATCTATGTATTTATATTTTAATAAATAATGAAAAACTTATTATACAAAAATCAAAACAAAATACTTCTTATAGATAAATTGAATACTAAGGCTTTCAAATTGTAAATAATTAAATGATGGTCATAGGATGATTATTATAATTATTTAATATTATGCATTTTCATTCAAGTCATTTAAAAATGTTATCTATTATTATACAAAATTCAAAATAAAATGCTTCTTATAGATAAATAGTCATATATTTTATAAATAAATAAATAGTATTTTTTAATTAGGTTTGGCTCGGTTTGGTTCAATTTCTAGTACTCAAAATTAAACTTGAACCAAACCAATCGATTCTCATATCATAAAAATCAAAGCAGACTTGATTATTGTTCGGTTTTGATCAATTTCTTTCAGTTTGAGTTAGTTTGGGTCGATTCTTTCGGTTTGGATCAATTTTAAACACCCTTATTTTGTGAATCTAGTTCTAAATCAAACCTACTTCCACCAAAATTGATGAAATTCAGTTCTATCACTCTTAAGGGTGTTCAAAACCGATCCAAACTGAAAGAGTCGATCCAAACAAACTCAAACCGAAAGAAACCGATCAAAACTGAACAATAATCAAGCCTGCTTCGGTTTTTATGATATG